CTCCTTGCTGTGCAAGGGACTCTCAAGAGTCTTCTCCAACACCACAGTTCAAAAGCATCAACTCTTCAGCACTCAGCTTTCTTTATAGTCCAACTCGCACACCCATACATGACTACTGGAAAAACTGTAGCTTTGACTAGATGGACCTTTGTTGGCAAAGTAATGCCTCAGCTTTTTAATACGTTGTCTGAGTTGGTCATAACTTTTCTTCTAAGGAGTAAGCATCTTTTAATTTCATGGCTGCAGTCACCATCTGCACTGATTTTGGAGCCCCCCAAAATAAGGTCTGTCACTGTTTCCACTGTTTCCCTACCTATTTGCCATGAAGTGATGGGACCAGATGCCGTGATCTTAGTTTTCTGAATGTTGAGTTTTAAGCCAACTTTTTCACTCTCCTCTCACTTTCATCAAGAGGCTCTTTAGTTCTTTGCTTTTTGCCATAAGGGTTGTGTCATCTGCATATCTGAGGTTATTGATATTTCTCCCGGCAATCTTGATTCCAGCTTGTGTTTATCTAGCCCAGTGTTTCTCATGATGTACTCTGCATATAAGTTAAATAAGCAGAGTGACAATACAATATACAGCCTTGACATATTCCGTTTCCTATTTGGAACCAGTCTGTTGTTCCATGTCCAGTTCTAACTGTTGCTTCCTGACCTGCATACAGATTTCTCAGGAGGCAGGTCAGGTGGTCTGGTATTCCCATCTCTTGAAGAATTTTCCACAGTTCTTTGGGAATCCACACAGTCAAAGGCTTTGGCATAGTCAATAAAGCAGAAGTAGATGTTTCTCTGGAACTCTCTTGCTTTTTCGATGATCCCAGCAGATGCTGGCAGTTTGATCTCTGGTTCCTCTGCCTTTTCTAAATCTAGCTTGAGCATCTGGAAGTTCACGGTTCACCTACTGTTGAAGCCTGGCTTGGAGAATTTTGAGCATTACTTTGCTAGCATGTGAGATGAGTGCAATTGTGTGGTGGTTTGAACATTCTTTGGCATTGCCTTTCTTTGGGGTTGGAATGAAAACTGACCTTTTCCAGTCCTGTGGCCACTGCTGAGGTTTCCCAATTTGCTGGCATATTGAGTGCAGCACTTTCATAGCATATCTTTTAAGATTTGAAATAGCTCATCTGGAATCGCATCACTTCCACTAGCTTTGTTCATAGTGATGTTTCCTAAGGCCCACTTGACTTCCCATTCCAGGATGTCTGGCTCTAGGTGAGTGATCACACCATCGTGGTTATCTGGGTCATGAAGATCTTTTTTGTGTCGTTCTTCTGTGTGGTCTTGCCACCCCTTCTTAATATCTTCTGCTTTTGTTAGGTCCATACCATTTCTATCCTTTATTGTGCCCATCTTTGCATGAAATGTTCCCTTGGTATGTCTAATTTTCTTGAAGAGCTCTCTAGTCTTTTCCATTCCACTGTTTTCCTCTATTTCTTTGCACTGATCACTGAGGAAGGCTTTCTTATCTCTCTTTGCTATTCTTTGGTACTGCATTCAAATGGGTATATCTTTCCTTTTCTCCTTTGCCTTTCACGTCTTTTCTATTCTCAGCTATCTCTAAATCCTCTTCGGACAACCATTTTGTCCTTTGCATTTCTTTTTCTTGGGGATGATCTTGATCACTGCCTCCTGTACAATGTCAGGAACCTCAGTCCATAGTTCATCAGGCACTCTATCAGATCTAATCCCTTGAATCTATTTGTCACTTCCACTGTATAGTCATAAGGGATTTGATTTAGGTCATACCTGAATGGTCTAGTGGTTTCCCCTACTTTCTTCAATAAGTCTGAATTTGGCAATAAGGAGTTCATGGTCTGAGCCACAGTCAGCTCCTGGTCTTGTTTTTGCTGACTGTATAAAGCTTCTCCATCTTTGGCTGCAAAGAATATAATCAGTCTGATTTCGGTATTGACCATCTGGTGATGTCCATGTGTAGAGTCTTCTCTTGTGTTGTTGGAAGAGGGTGTTTGCGTTCTCTTGGCAAACTCTGTTAGCCTTTGACCTGCTTTGTTTTGTACTCCAAGGCCAAATTTTCCTGTTACTCCGGGTGTTCCTTGACTTCCTACTTTTGCATTCCAGTCCCCTATAATGAAAAGGACATATTTTTGGAAGTGTTAGTTGTAGGTTTTTGTAGGTCTCCATAGAACCAGTCAACTTCAGCTTCTTCAGCATTACTGTTCGGGGCACAGACTTGGATTACTGTAATATTGAATGGTTAGCCTTGGAAACAAACAGAGATTATTCTGTCGTTTTTGAGGCTGCATCCAAGTACTGCATTTTGGACTCTTGTTTACTATGAGAACCACTCCATTTCTTCTAAGGGATTGTTGCCCACAGTAGTAGATATAATGGTCATCTGAGTTAAATTCACCCATTCCAGTCCATTGACTGATTCCTAAAATGTTGATGTTCACTCTTACCATCTCCTGTTTGACCACTTCCAGTTTGCCTTGATTCATGGACCTAATATTCCAGGTTCCTATGCAATATTGCTCTTTACAGCATCGAGCTTAACTTCCATCACAAGTCACATTCAGAGCTGGATGTTGTTTTTGCTTTGGCTCTGTCTCTTCATTCTTTCTGGAGTTATTTCTCCACTGATCTCCAGTAGCATATTGGGCACCTCCCGACCTGGGGAGTTCATCTTTCAGGGTCCTATGTTTTTGCCTTTTCATACTGTTCATGGGGTTCTCAAGGCATGAATGCTGAAGTGGTCTGCCATTCCCTTTACCACTGGGATTTCCCTGATAGCTCAGTTCATATCACTTACATATGGAATCTAAAATACAGCACAAGTGAATTTATCTTTGAAACAGAATGATGAAATCTAAAATACAGCACAAGTGAATTTATCTTTGAAACAGAATGAGACAAAGAGAACAGACTCATGATTGCTAATGGGGAACAGATGTGGGGGATGGAAGAATTGGGAATATGGGATCAGCAGATGCTATTATATATTGAATGAATAAACAACAAGGTACTAATATATAGCACAGGGAGCTATATTGAATATTCTATACTAAACCATACTGGAAAAAATAAGAAGAATACATATACATATATATATATTCAGTATATATATATATATATGTAGGTATATATTATATATATGTGTTTACAAGCAGAGTGATTCAGTATACATATATATATGTGTGCGTGTATATATATATATTTATTATATATATATACTGAATATATAAATTTCTGCTTGTAAACTAATTTACCAAAAACTAATACAACATTGTAAATTAACTATACCTCAGCAAAAGAAATTCTGAAAAGGAGATATCAGAAAACTAAACAGATTTCTCTGGTGGTCTACTGGTTAACATTTTCACTGCTATCACTTGTTTCAGTCCCTGGCCAGGGAACTGAGATTCCACAAGCCTCATGGCATGACCAAAGAAAGAAAAAATAAACAGAATTGAGGAAACAGAATCTATATTGAAAAAGCTCCCATATACTATAAAGTTAAAGCTGCATTTACATAAAACGCAGCAATATCAACCATAGGTATTTGCCCGTACAGATTTCTTAATAGGCAGGTCCCAGAGTTTGCTCAAATAGATGTCCATTGAGTCGGTGATAGTATCTAACCATCTCATCTTCTGCTGCCCTCTTCTCCTTTTCCTTTCAATCTTTCCCAGCATCAGGATCTTTTCTAATGAGTCAACTCTTCACATCCGGTTGCCAAAGTATTGGAACTTCAGCTTCAGCATCAGCCCTTCCTATGAATATTCAGAGTTGATTTCCTTTAGATTGACTGGTTTGATCTCCTTGCAGTCCAAGGGACTCCTAAGAGTCTTCTCCAGCATCATGGTTTCGAAAGCATCAATCGTTTGATGCTTAGACTTCTTTATGGTCCAACTCTCAAATCCATATGTGACTACTGAAAAAATCGTAGCTTTGACTCTATGACCTTTGTTGGCAAAGTGACGTCTCTGCTTTTTCATATGCTGACTTTGGCTCTGAGTTTATCTGTTTTAGATCTTAAAAAACTAGCTTTAGTTTTCATCGGGTTTTGGCTATTGATTTCCTGTTTTCTATTTAGTTACCTTCCAATCTAATCTTTATTATGTCATTTTTTCTGCTTAACTTGGGTTTAATACTTTGCGATTAACATTATACAAAATGTTTTTTCTTGAAAAGTGAATTTGACAGATTTTGAAACCCTGTACTCAACCCAGACTGTGCGTGTGTTTGGCATTTAAACAAGGACATAATACTTTGCTTCTAGCAAGATTCCGTATAGATTGAAATATTTTGATTCTGTTTATAGTTATTTGAAGGACATAGGATTTTCTTTTTGTTTTGAATAGTGATTTTTCTGCCTGTTTATCTGCTGTGTTTCAAATTCTGAATGAAGTAAATTATGAAAGTACTTAACATTTCCATGCCAAACTCTCTATGAAATTTACCACATGTAGAGTTAAATATATGTGGCATCTGTTAAGTGGTGTAAAATATTTTTGTGAGAAATAAAATTTTATCCTCATTTTTAATCTTAGCAATCATTTAAGGGCTGTATAATATTTGCTTGATTCAGAATGTAAGACATTTAAATTCACACATCTTCCCAAATGAGAAATCTCTAAGGTATAAGGAAGTTCTAGTGTTTTCATTTCTTATGTTTTAGTATATTAGAGTAAGAAATTCCTATGGTGGATAGAGTAGAATTTGTATTAGTCTTTTAGGTTGCCTTCTAAAGCCTGAGTTAGAATCAAGGAAATAAATTGCTTAACCGATTGAAAATTGTATTTAAGTATTAAAACACATTTGATTTACTCTGTAAATAGTAATTTTATTTTTTAACAGATGAAATTGGCTTGAGAATCAGTTTCTTTTTTAAATACTTATTTCTTATGCAATGTTCAGTAAGAAATGTAGGTATTATTAGAATTGGAATATTGTTGGAGGGATGTAATATTTATAGAACTACATGAAAATTTTTTCTTTGTTTACTTTTCTAATTGTTTAATGTTCCTTTTCTTTTAGATCCTATTTGACCAAACTCAGAGATCAATTAAGGCACAACTTCAGAACTTTGTTAAAGAGTAAGTTAATTTCAGTGAAAAGAAAAGAAAACAGCTATGATTACATCTGGGAGTTATCATTTGAGAGAACCTAGAATCATACTTTCAGACTTACTAAAAATATGGGAGTTTTTATTTGTTTTTTGCTTTGTGAATTTTATGTTGCATTTTTTTCTGAATTACTCTGTAAGAAATCAGATTTCAGGCTTTCCCATGAATAACTTATGCTATGGAATTTGTATTCAGGATACATAGCTCAAATTGTTACAGATAAAACAAATTTTTTATGTAAATAAAGAATCTGATGACCTTTAAAAATCAAAGCAGATACCAAAAGTGGTTGAAATACCATCAGTTATTCTAGTTATCTCCATATAGTATTTTCTTTGTGGAGATGATAATAAGATTTATGAGAATGAGTTATGAAGGTGCATAATAAGTAATGAAAACAAGCCTTTTGTCACAGTCATCATATTTTATGTGTGAAATAAAATGAAACTGGAAATAAAAAAAAAATCTGACCTTTCCAGGTGTGGATGTTTGCCTTTTCTACATTAATAATTTCAGTTTTTCTCTTTTAATTCCTGACTGAGAATATATTATATTACATATAAGGTTGATTAGGATACAGGATTCAGGTATTCAGTTCAGTTGCTCAGTCATGTCCAGCTCTTTGTGACCCCATGAACTGGAGCACACCAGGCCTCCCTGTCCATCACCAACTCCCGGAGTCTACCCAAACCCATGTCCATTGAGTCGGTGATGCCATCCAACCATCTCATCCTCTGTTGTCCCCTTCTCCTCCTGCCCTCAATCTTTTCTAGCATCAGGGTCTTTTCTAATGAGTCAGCTCTTCACATCAGGTGGCCAAAATATTGGAGTTTCAGCTTCAACATCAGTCCTTCCAATGAACACCCAGGACTGATCTCCTTTAGGATGGATTGGTTGGATCTCTTAAAGAGTCTTCTCCAACACCACAGTTCAAAAGCATCAATTCTTCAGTGCTCAGCTTTCTTTATAGTCCAACTCGCACACCCATACATGACTACTGGAAAAACCATAGCCTTGACTAGACGGACCTTTGTTGACAAAGTAATGTCTCTGCTTTTTAATATGTTGTCTAGGTTGGTCATAACTAATACAGGTATTACAAGCTATAAATTTCAGAGCTCATAATGCACTTCTGTCATAGTAGATTAGAATTTGTTGTACTAGAGGTGATCTCTTGCAGATTGTTTATAAATTGTTTCATAAAATACTAATATTCAGAATGTCCTTATAGAATATATACATGAAAATTTGTTGCTAAAGAGTTTAAAGTCTTTGCTAGGTATATTTTATTATAGTTGTTATTATTTTAAAGTTATTTGTCTTCAAGTTATTTTGCCTAATTCCTTGGTAGAAGTGAAAACAAAGGGATGCTATGTATTTACCTAAGGTCATTAATGAATGGAGGCTTCAGATTTTCAGACTGTTACCCTTTACTGGTACATAAAGTGTTTCCCTTTTAGAGGGCTTCCCAGCTGGCTCACGCGTGCTCAGTCATATCTGATTCTTTGTGACCCTATGCACTGTAGCCCACCAGAGTTCTCTGTCCATAGATTTTCCAGGCAAGAATGCTAGAGTGAATTGCCTTTTTGTTCTTCAGGGAATCTTCCTGACTCAGGGATCAAACCCTCATCTCTTGTGCTTCCTGCATTGGCAGGCAGGTTCTTTATCTGTTGAGCTACCAGGGAAGCCCTCTAAAAGAATTATGTACTAGTAAAGGGTAATAGTATCCATTTCAATAGTCTGAGCTTCCCTGGTGGCTCAGATTGTAAAGAATCTGCCTGCAGTGTAGGAGACCTGGGTTTGATCCCTGGGTTGGGAAGGTCCCCTGGAGTGGGAAATAGTAACCCACTCCAGTATTATTACCTGGAAAATCCCATGAACATAGGAACCTGGTGGGCTACAGTCCAGGGGATCGCAAAGAGTTGGGCACGACTGAGCACACAGTATACCCAGTTCTTTTAGAAAGCATTATATGTGTGTATTTTAAGAATGTATTCCTGCCTTTTGGCCTACTAATTTTCTTGAATAAGAAATGAATGTTGTTTCTTTAAATGTGGTCTCTACCCTTGTAACATATACTATTCCCCAGTGGCTCAGGTGGTAAAGAATCTGCCTGCCAGTGGAGGAGACTCTGGTTTGATCCCTGGGTTGGAAAGATCCCCTGGAGAAGGCAGCCCACTCCAGTAGTCTTGCCTGGAGAATCCCATGGACAGAAGAACATGACAGGCTACAGTCCATGGGGCCTCAGAGGAGTCGGACAGGACTCAGTGACTAAAACAACAGGACCACCAATAACAGGAAATCAAGGACTTGTCTTAAGAAAATCCCTTAGATTTCCAGAGCTTATCCCCAAAACACAAAGAGTTATAATCTCTGGGAGAGGACCCTTGGAACTTGCATTTTTTAATAAGTTCCCTGTGGTATATACTACTGTTTAAAAATTATTTTGTTAGATATTGGTTTATGTCCCAAAATTTGTCTTTAGAAAAATTAACTTTGCCTTTTATGTTTCTGTAATGTTAATTTGATAATTTATTTTTTAATTTGAATTGTATAGATTTAAGTCAGGAAATGCTAACTGACTATATTAGGGAATATTATATGCTCATAGACTAATATATGTATTAGTTGGAAGCGCTATTGAGTATCAAATAAATAAATAAATAGAGCAACATAAGAATAAAATTTTAAATGTTATTTTGCTAAAGTGTTTGATCCAGGAAGTTTTATAAAAATTTCACTATTTTAATTTTTTTAGAGATCTCAGAAAATTCAAAGATGCCAAGAAGCAGTTTGAAAAAGTCAGTGAAGAAAAAGAAAATGCATTAGTAAAAAATGCTCAAGTGCAGAGAAACAAACAGCATGAGGTTGAAGAAGCCACAAACATTCTGACAGCAACAAGAAAATGTTTTCGTCACATAGCCCTCGATTATGTACTTCAGGTTTGTTTATTGTATGTTTTCAAAAATTGCTTGCTAAGCATGTTGTTGGGCTTCCCTCATAGCTCAATTGGCAGAGAATATGCCTGCAATGAAGGAGACCTAGGTTCAGTTCCTGGGTCAGGAAGATCCCCTGGAGAAGGAAATGGCAATCCACTCCAGTATTCTTGCCTGGAAAATCCCATGGACAGAGGAGCCTGGCAGGCTACGGTCCACAGGGTCGCAAGAGTCGGACTTAGCGACTAAACCACCACCTCCAAACATGTTGTTTTTTTTTTGAGTGATTGCATTGAAGGGAATAAATAATGCTACTTCTTTTAGTTTGAAATTAAACCATGTTCTTTTGTGAAAAATTTTCATGTGTCTGGGTGTTTATCTGTGTATGCCCTATACATGTGTGTATACGTTAAGTTCTGATTTCTTCTCCTGCTCACTTAACATTATCATTTCTCCTTTTCTAAATATCATTAAAAGGATTATTAATTGCTATATTTTATTCTATGGATATACTGTGTCAATTTAGTTAATATCCAGTTATTAGTTGTATAATTGTCAGTTCTTGCTGGCAATACTGAAAATACACTTTTCAATAAATATAAATGATAATAATATCTTTGTATACAAATCTTTTGCAACATTTCTGATTATTTCTTTAGAGTAGATTCTAGAGATACAAAGGGCTTACCATATTGCCAAATGGAAAATATTTCTAGAAATAATGTTCTCATATTTGCATTGCTGCTAAGTCACGTCAGTCATGTCCGACTCTGTGTGACCCCATAGATGGCAGCCAACCAGGCTCCCGTCCCTGGGATTCTCCAGGCAAGAATACTGGAGTGGGTTGCCATTTCCTTCTCCAGCGCATGAAAGTGAAGGGTGAAAGTGAAGTCGCTCAGTCGTGTCAGACTCTTAGCGACCCCATGTACTGTAGCTTACCAGGCTCCTCCATCCATGGGATTTCCCAGGCAAGAGTACTGGAGTGGGGTGCCATTGCCTTCTCCTATATTTGCATTAGGTGCTGCTTTTTAAAAGTAGAGATGGATATTTGGTAAGATGCCAGGTGATCTAAGACAGAGAAGTCCCTATAGATTGTTGACTTAACAGTGGTCACAGAGTATTTTGTAGAAAAAACCTGAAGTAACCATGTTGCAAATTTGTGTTTAGAAACTACCCAGATAACTTTGCAAAAATAGTAGAAAATGACCTTAGGATTTTTTTCTATTAAGTTCCTATTCAGTAAGCAGGAGGATAAATTTTAAAAAGTACAGTCTATTAATTGAAGACTTCTAGAATGGAGTAGCCTGTATTTCCTATTTCCTCTTATCTATCTCACACTTGTACCACTTCCTGCTATAGTATGAGCACTGAGAGTCTGTCTACCCCATTCTTCTGAAATGGCTTGCATTAAGGTCTTATTCATTAGAAATATTTTACTTTTTAACCGACTTGACTATTGTGTTCCACTGAAATAGACTGCACCCTTTTTCTTGAGACCTTCTTTCATCTTGATCTTAGACCACTTTTAGGTCGTCATCATAACTGTTTCTTTTCAGTTCCACCTTGGGTTTCTTTCCTTTGTGCACCTTTTCAGTCTGACTTTTAGGGTTCCATCTTTGGTCTTCCTGTTTTCTGACTTTATGATTTCCCTTATAGTTTCATCATGTCCTTTGCTTGAATTATTACCATATATAGATGATGAAATCTACTTTTCTCCTGAAGTACTTTGTCCCTTTTGTGTCCCAAACTGAAATTTGTCTTCTCAAATGGCTGCCAACACCAAACTGAGTGGTGTTACCCTCTTAATCACAGAAGTCAGACTTGGAGAATCACACTAGATATTCTCCTCATTCTTAGCTACTACAAGTAACAATCGAAATTGCCTTGAGAAGTTCTATGTACTCTTAAATCTGTTCTTTCTCACTCTGCTGCAGCCTGAATTCTTATTGTTTCTTTTCTGGAGTATTAAGATGTTCTCATAAAAATTGATCTTTCCTGCATTACTTTTAACCTGCTCTTTAGCAATCTATTTTGTTTTCTGTGGTCAGAACCACTCAGACTTCTCCCGACATATGAGTCATCTTGTCTCTGTTTCCTCTCTGCTGCCACGTTATTGTCATACACATTGCTGTTAGAGCACTTCTCTCATTTATTGTGATTATTTATTAATATGTCTTTCTTACACCCAGGTTATATCCCTTCTGTCTAGTCCAGTGGTTAGAAAGTAGATAGGTAATGTTTTTTGAAAGAGTGAATGACTTAATTTTGAATTTTATATGGGGAGGGAGCAGTTAGCTAAAATATTTATTATTGTCAAATTTACACATTGTAAACTATCCAAGTTAGGACTTCACCTCTCTTATAAGTTATTTGTTTGATTTTTTCTAATGAGAACTGTTGTATTATTTCATTATAAGGCCAAACTCTCTGTTTTAGAGAATCCTAGGTAATAAATATTCAGAATTTAGTTTGTCATGCTTTAACTTCTCTAAATATTTTAGTATACTTTTGTTTTTTCAAGTGTATGCTGTTTTTCATTGTCAAACAGAAGTATTTTTAACATTTTTCTAAGCTTTTACTTAGAGCATTTGGAAGTTACTATTTTAGTTCTCAAAACTGAATAGACCTTGAAATAGACATGCAGAATAAACTAGTGCTTAGGTAAGCAACATTATTAGATTTTTGGGGGCCTGTTTTTGTTTTCTGATCAGTGCTTTAAAATTATCTTATAACATGTTAAATATTCAGTGGGAAGGACATATTAAAAGGGTAGATATTCTGTAATGTTTTGGAAGTTCTAGCAAAGAATGAATGATTCTTTTTTGTAAACATTTTATTTCACTAAGTTTATATATAATAACACAAAAATAAAATGCTTGTTGTGAATTTCTAAAGTTGGGAGAGAAACCATAGAAGGCAACTTTTGTAATTACTGATCTTTCAATACTTTGGTCTAATTAACATATTTATTTATGGTCTATTAATTTGTTTAACAAATATTTATTGAGTGCTTAATATATACAATTTGGAGAATACAACTGGGAATAAGGCAAGACCTTGATCTCATGGAACTTATGTTTTAGCTAGGTAAATGACATAAGTAAATAAAATACAAGGTAGTTAAGAATACTAAAAGGAAAATAAATAGGGTTGATACACTAAAGATGTTTGAAGGCCTACTTTGGACCTTTGTGAGGAGGTAGTATTTAAGTTTGGACCTTATGGATAAGAGCCTCATGCCTGTTTGGGCAGAAAATCATGATATGAGGACAAAACAAATAGGATGAGGCCTTGAGGTGGGAATAGTCTTGGGCTGTGGTTGGAGTACAGAAAAGGGGAACGTACTGTAGAAGAAAATTATGTTGGAGAGGTAGCAGGAGCCTCTTCACAAAGGTGCCTTGTAGGCTGCGATAGGGAGTTGTAGGTTGGGAGTTGGAAGGTTTTCAGATAAACATGCCTGATCTCATTTATTGCTTAAAAAAGCACTCTGGTTGCTGTGTGAAGAATGAAGTGTAAGGAGTCAAGAGTGGAAACACACTAGTTTAGACTATAGTAACAGTCAGGAAAAGATAATGGCAATTGGTGGTAGTGATGAAAGTGGTGAGAATTTGTATTAAGGATGTATGTTGAAAGAGTGATTAGATGAGAGTGGAGAAAAGATGGGATTCTAAGAAATTTGAAAGTTTATCAAGGTGATAGTTTTATCAGTACAGTACAATTTTATGATTTAAACATGACCAGTTTCTCTTTGAGTTGAAAAATGATGAGCGTTACATTGGTATGTTTGTCTTAACTGTTTTTGCAAAAAGCAGGTCAAAAGCTGAAAAACTTGAACTTTGTTTTTATTTACTTTTCTGGAAAAGTATTAAACCATTAGAATAAGCAAATTTTACAACATTTGCATTCTGGATTAGTTTTTTAAATAGTGCATAGGTGATTAACCAAGTTTGTTTTTCCCTCAGATTAATGTCCTTCAATCAAAAAGGAGATCAGAAATCCTGAAATCAGTAAGATATTTATTGAAATGATGTTCTATATATTTTAATATGAAGTTAAATGTATATATTTAAGTGTTTAAAATAGCATCATATGTATGTGTTTATTTATTGACTTATTTATTCCAGGTTTATAGTTAATCTTCTTAATGATGTTTGTATACTTATTACATGTCACTAAACCACTTTTTTAAAAAAATTTTTTTATGTTATAGTTATTTATATATGTCTCATCCATTAATATATTATAAGTTCCTTAAAGCAGACATTTAAGTATTTGAGATTGAGGGCATACATAAATAGCATCATTTTATAGAATTTTCCCCTTAGGGTTGTTGATGATGTATCAACTTTTCAGAATGCAGGTAGAAAACAAATGAGTTGAAATGTCAAGGCATGAGAACAGTGATTTTCTTATTTGCCTTTTTTTCTTTTTTCCTCTTAAAGCTAACAAGGAGGTGGGCAGAGGATGGTAGTGGTGTGGACACTATAGTCTTTTGTATTTTGAGACCCTTAGAAACAATTTCTCCTCTGATTTTGTTCACTGAAGTTCTTTTTTCCTTCGAAAGGTTTACTGAAATTGTTATTGATCCTTGTCCCCACCTAGCTTTTTCCTAAATTCTCTGTTAATATGTATATTATTTCTAATCAGATGAGTACATTATACTTCCTGTTTACATCCACTTCCTTTTCCAGATTGAGAGCAGTGTGTATTATTTGTAGAAAATTAGAAAATAAAATGCATGAAGAAAGAATAAAAATACAAAAATGCTACTACCAAGAGAGAACCACTGTTGTGGCTGATGTAATTTTTGTCTTTTTTATGTGTTTGTGTGTGCCTATTTGTGTGTGCATGAACATTTATATATACCTTTTAAAATTCTGTTTAATTTTTTTAAAGCAAAACAAAATAGGACCCATTCCTACATATTCTTCTGTAATTTTTTTTGTACTAATACACTCCAAAATCATCATGTGTTACTGAATATTTTTTTATTTAATGATGACCTTTGTGGCTAGATAGAATTCTTCCTTGTGAATATAGTAGAGATGAGCAAACATTTTTTTGAAGGGCCTGGTAGTAAACATACTAGATTTGGGGGTCCATATGATCTGTGCTGCAGTTGTTCAGCTGTGCTACTGTAATGAGAAAGCAGTCATAGTGTGTAAACGAATGGCATGGCTGTTGCAATATCAACATGAAAGTTAGGATTTTACATAATTTCTATGTCGTTAGTATATCGTGTCTTTTTTTCATTTTCCTTGACCATTTAAAAATGCAAAAACCATTGTTAGCCCATTGGCCATCCAAAAACAGGTAGTGGGGCTGGATATAGTTTGTGGGTTACAGTTTTCTGAGCTTGTTCAGTTCAGTTCAGTCACTTAGCCATGTTCTTTTGTGACCCCATGGACTGCAGCATGCCAGGCCTCCTTGTCCATCACCAACTCCTGGGAGTTTATCCAAACCCATGTCCATCGAGTCAGTGATGCCATCCAACCACCTCATCCTCTGTCGTCCCCTTCTCCTCCTACCTTCAGTCTTTCCCAGCATCAGGGTCTTTTGCAGTGAGTCAGTTTTTCGCATCAGGTGGTAGTGTTGGAGTTTCAGCTTCAGCATCAGTCCTTCCAATGAACACTCAGGACTGATTTCTTTTAGGATGGACTAGTTGGATCTCCTTGCAGTCCAAGGGACTTTCAAAAGTCTTTTCCAACACCACAGTTCAAAAGCATCAATTCTTCGGCACTCAGCTTTCTTTAATAGTCCAACTCTCACATCCGTACATGACTACCGGAAAAACCATAGCTTTGACATGACAGACCTTTGTTGGCAAAGTAATGTCTCTGCTTTTTAATATTCTGACCTTGAATATACCATAATTTAACTTTACCCATTAATGGACTTTTAAGTAATTTCCCTGTTTTTGACATGAAATGTAGCATTATATAGTGATCATCCTAATGAATAATATGATTATTTCCTTCAGATAGCTTAAGGCAAGCAATTACTTAGAGGATTTAAGCATTTATGGAGACTTTTTAAAAAATATTGTCAAGTTATAAGGGTTACACAAAATTTTCACTAATAGTGTGTGAGAGTAACATTTTTACATCTTTCACCAACACTGGGTGTTGATTTTTCCCACTCTATCCATAATTTGATAGAAAATTTCATCTCATTGTTTAATTTTGCATTTCTTTGATATGAATGAGTATGACTGTCCCCCTTCCCCTCCCCCCCTTTTTCTTGGTCATTTATGTTTTCTGTTTATGTCCTTTGTCTCTTTTCCTGTTGGGATCTTCATGTTTTTCATATTAATTTGTAACATCTGTTACCTATTAAGACTATTAACCCTTTGTCATATGCTTTTTCCTAGTTTATTATTTATCTTTTAATACACTTACTATGTATTTTTATGTGCAGGCATATTTTACATTTTTATGTACTTGTAACTATCCTTCTTTATATATAATTACATATATATATATATATAAATTAAGCATAATTTAAAAAAATCATATTCACAAAGTTGTACAACTAACATTATCTAATTCCAGAATCATCTTTTAGTGAGCTTTGTCCTTTTGTCACTGTTTTTTATTTTATTGGTTTTTCTCTTTCAAAATAATTTCTTTTGAAGGATTCTTGAGTATTAAGGCCCTTATGACCTATTTTAGATTTCAGAGAATTAAACAGATGTCTCTTTTTGCTAAAAATAACATGGCTGTTCAGAGGATTCTTTCAGTCCTGTGATTGAGTTGTCTAATTCCTTCTACATGTGAAAACTTAACTAATAAAAATGAGTGTTTTTTTTTTCTCTCATGAATAGTTAAAATTTAGGAAAACAGAAAAAGTCTTACCCCATTAATGACAGTTTTGGATTTCGGGAATGAATATAACAAAATCTCCTTATTGGCGAAGCCTGTTGCCTCATTTTATTTTGGTATTTTGAGAAAAAAAATGAGCATTCCCCTATTTCATGTTATGTTTAGTGATCTACAGGTTGTTGTAAAGTGTTTGTGATTGTTTTGAGAGCTTCTTATATCACCTTCTAATCTTTTGATGCTTTATTTGTAATTTAAGATTTTGCCAGTGAGTTTGGTTGAAAGATACATAGACATTTTATAATGTACCTGGAAAGATGGTGACACTATTGAAAACTTGATTTTTTGAATTATTGCAACCTTTTAAGAAAAATGATTCAGCTTAATTTTAAATGGTTTGATATTTTGTGCTCTGGTGAAATAATTTTTTAACATAGGATCAGAATTTTAGTTTCAGAATATTAAGAGTTGATTCAAAAATGGTGATCATTTTTTCCTCCTTTAGATGTTATCCTTTATGTATGCCCATTTGGCTTTCTTCCATCAAGGATATGATCTATTTAGTGAACTTGGGCCCTATATGAAGGATCTTGGTGCACAGGTAATGTACTGTACTTCTTGTCTCTGTATTATATACCAGTATCTGTATTTTTTTTTTTAAAGTGTATACATTTGACATTTTCATTTCAGGTATACAATAAAATAATTTAATATGTTAGTATGTATATACTGCAAAATGATCATCACCATATAAATCTAGTTAACATCTACCGTACATAGTTACACATTATTTTTTCTGATGAGAACTTTTAATATCTAGTCTCTTAGCAACTTTCAAATATATAATACAGTATTATTAACTATAGATACCATGTTGTCTTTGACATCCCCAGGAGTTGTTTATTTTACAGCTGGAAGTTTTGTACCTTTTGACCCCCATCTCCCATTTTGCCCACCCCCAAAACCCACCTCTAGCAATCTCCAATCTGTTCTTTCTATGAGTTCTATTTTTTAAAAATTTATCAGTTCGTTGTGATCACACAGTAGTTGTCTTTCTCTTTATGACTTATTTAACTTAGTGTAATGCCCTCAGGATCCATCCATGTTGCAAAAGGCAGCCTTTCCCTTTTTTTATGGGTGAATAATGGGTATATATATTTTATGGGTATATTTATACCACATTTTTGAATTCATCTATTGATGGACACTTAGGTTACTTTCATATCTAGGTAAGTAATGCTTCAGTGAGTGTGGGTATGCAGATACCTTTTCGAGTTAGTGTCTTCATTTCCTTCAGATAAATGCTTATGAGTGGAATTGCTGGATCATACTGTAGTTCTATTTTTATTTTTTTGAGGAACCTCCATACTGTTCTTAAATAGTGGCTGCACCAATTTCTTTCTCATCATCAGTACACAAGGGTTCCCTTTCTCCACATCCTTGACAATCTTGTCTTTGATGACAGCCATTCTAACAGGTGTGAGGGGATAGTGCATTGTGGTTTTAATTTAGAAGTCTTCCGTGATTAGTGACTTTTGGCTCCTTGTTTGCCATCTGTGTGTTTTCCATGGGAAAATGTCTGTTTAGGTCCTCTCCTCATTTTTTAATTGGATTTCTTTTTTTTTTTTGGCTATTGCATTGTCGAGTTCTTTATATATTTTAGATATTAACCTCTTACAAAATATATGATTTGTAAATATTTTCTGCCATTTGGTAGGTTGCATTTTCATTTTGATGACGGTTTCATTTGCTGTGCAGAAACTTTTTAGTTTGATGTAGTTTGAGTTGTTTGTTTTGTTGTCTTTGTTCTAGTACCTGTATTTTTAAAGAGATTAAGCAAATTGGGAAATTTGACATTTAGTTTGTTTAGTGTAGAAGTTTGGTGTTTTTTTTTTTTTTTGAAGTTTGGTGTTTTTATAGCAGATTTATGTGAATCCAATGTGTAACCAAAAATGAGATTGAAGTTAAAGAATATGTTGTAGATAGTTATATAAGGGTACTGAGAAGAAGAATTTTAAAATAAAGTATTTGTTTTACAGTATACATAGCTGGATTTATTTTTTTGATTCTTACATTTGGATTATTGAGCTACTGTCCTAATTGGTATTTTAGTTTTAACTTTTTTTATTTTCAAAGATATTTGAGTTTTGCTTTTTAGAATAATAAAATTTTATTTTTAAAGTATTTATTTATTTATTTGACTGCCCTGGGTTTTAGTTATGGCAGGCATATGGGACCTAGTTCCCTGACCAGGGATCAGATCCATCCCCCTGCATTGGGAGAATGGAATCGCAGCCACTGGACCACCAGGGAAGCCCCTGAATAATAATAAAGTTTACAAATTTAAGATTAAAAGACTCTAGGTAACTTTTTCATTATATATACACATAGACGTGCATGAACTATATATAAGAATATTATGTAGAAATTTTATTATGTCCGAATTATTTTTGATTATCTGATCAGACCTTCAGGCGTACCTGATGGCTCAGTGGTAAAAAGTCCACCTGCCAATGCAGGAGACACAGGTTCGATCCCTGGGTTGGGAAGATCCACTGGAGAAAGAGATGGCAACCCACTCCTGTATTCTTGCCTGGGAAATCCCATAGACAGAGGAGGCTGACGGGCTCCAGTCCATGGGGTTGCGATAGAGTTGGACAAGACTGAGCAACTAAACAACAATAGCAACAATCAGAATTTCATGTTAAATCTGTTCCCAGACATTCTTTTTTGTTGACTGGTGAGTTTTCTGGATTTCTGTCAATTTTCAATTGGTTTTCTTTCCCAAAATGGTTCAGATTACTTTTTGAGGAAAGGGATTAAGGATGTAAAATAGAGTTTAGAGAAATGGGCAAAAAGTAAGAGCAGAATGATAATTGCATTCATTGACCAAAAATAAATACGGTGCATGCATGTGTGTGTGTTTGTGTGTGTTGGGCTGTTGTGGGGGAAAGGTGGTGTGTAAGGTATGTCATGAGTTATAGAATTGCTCTTCCCTGCCTCTACAGAGCTTAATCTACTGGAAGAAAATAACAGGTTACCACACTATTAATCTCTGTGCTAAGTGCCCTATCTGGGTGTATAAATTGAGATTAGATTTTGTTTGCATGTGATAGAAAACCACAAACAGCAGGAGCTTTAAACAGGATAGAATTTTATTTCTTTTATGTAAAACCAAAGGTCTAGTATAGTGGTCACTTAATCTGTAGGGACCCAGGCTTATTATATCTTTGGATTCTACCTAATGGTTCAGAGTGGTTTATCAGGCTTTAGCCATCATATCCAAATTGTAGCCAGTAGGGTGGAGGGGATAATAAAGATTTGTTCCCTCTCTTTCGGCATAGTTCGCCGGAATTGTACATGCCACTTCTGCATATGTTCCATTGTCCCACTAGCTTCAAGGAAAGCTGGGAAATAGTGTTAATGCAGGTAACCATGTTAACCTACTAGAATTTGGGGATTTTGTTGTTAAGAAAGGAAGAGAGAATGGATATGGGACATAGATAGCTGTCTCCACCACATGTGTTACTGCAACATATAAGTAGTATATCCAACCCAGATTTGGGAAGAAGACAGGACCTTCCCAGGCCCTTGGTGTTGTGTGTAAATTGCTCAGTTGTGTCCGACTCTGCGACCCATGGACTGTAGCCCGCCAGGCCCCGGGCTCCTCAGCTACTACTCGAAAGTCCGTGGAATTCTCCAGGCAAGAATACTGGAGTGGGTTGCTATTCCCTTCTTGAGGGGATCTTTCTGACCCAGGGATCGAACCCGGGTCTCATGCATTGTGGGCAGACTCTTTACCATCTGAGCCACCAGGGAAGTCCTCTAGGTACTCCCGACATCTTAGCAAACATTAGATTTTACCCTCATCTTACGTTAAGTATAATATCAAAAAATGCATTGGATTGTAGTTGACTGTGTCAGTAATTGTATATTTTGACATTGATTAATTTCAGTTTTGCAGTTTTTACCCTCCAAGGTCTCAAGTAATTTTGCACGTCCCTGAGAAGCATCTAAACTCTAGTGCCTATAGTGTTTGGCCTGGTTGAAGGTGCTAGTTTATGGTATCTGGAACTACAGTCATGGCAGTAGGGGTGGAGATAAATAGATACACTTGAGGAATATGTAGTCAATTCGAGAGTGGAGGGACATGAGAAGTTGAAATGTGTTGAGTTTGGGAATAAGTGGGTATATCTAGAATTCAAGAGAGAGAAACATTAAGAGAGTCAATAGTATATAATTGCTAATTACAGTCACAGGAGTGTGTGAATTAAACCAAGGAGAGTTAATAGATATTTCAATAACATGAACCTATTTAAAAAAAAGATAAGTGACCAAGCACCATGCCCAATACTTTTAATTTTGTAAATTAAGGTCAAGGTCCACAAGTGTGGAATAAAAGAGAATTTGACTTGGGACAGATCCCTCAGAATGACCTACTTTTAAGAAATGGCTAGGTAAGAGGGCTCCATGAGAACATTGATGGGAGAGAGGTGGAAAACCAGGAGACCATGGTAGCAAAAGACAAGGAAAGAGTGTCTCAAAAAGATGGGGGTGGTTGTCAGTTCAATGACTGGAAAGAAGGTCGAGTAAACCTAGGACTGAGAATTGCCTCTTAGATTTAGCAACAAGAAGGTTATTTGTTACTTCTGTCAGAGTTGAGGGTCTAAGAGGTAAAAGCTAAATTACCATGGATATATGAATATGATATGGGCAAGTGGAGAACAGGGAGAACATTTTAAGAAGTTGTATTGTGAAGGAAAGAGAGAGAGAGAAGTTGGTAACTGGAGAGGAGTGTGGGTTTTAGGAAGATTTTATTTAAGGTATTATTCTATTTATTAAATTTGCACAAATTTAAAACAAGTGGGAACCCATTTGAAAAGCAAAAAAAGAAGTATTGAAATTTGAGGTGGTAGGAGTGGATGAGATTCAGAATATAAGTAGAGGATTGGGGGCACCTGGTTAGTTACAGCAGTCTATTAACCTCATACGTGCAATACTAATAGAAACACAGGACACATGCTGCTTTGCTCCAGTTCCCTTCCTGATCCAGTATCCAGCCTCTAGAAGACAGGACTGCCAGGCTTTGCATCTCTGCAACTCATTCGTCCTCCAACACTTCACCGTGTTGAAAGATATCTTTTTCTTTATACGTTTGCCCCGACAGAGGGAGAAAGAATTTTCTCTCTTTTCTGCTGTAATAGCAGTGGAGTGGGATACAGTTGAGAAGTTTACTACCAATTTGACAGTTTACTACCCTCACTGGCTTTATAGTACTGGTGTGGAAGGTGTGTGCATGCAAGTTTTTAAATATCAGTTTGAATCTTGGAAGTGCCTCCTACTGCAGTTCAGCCTGAATGTACGAAAAACATTTACATGTCATTCAATTAAAGGCTGTAAAACCAGGGTATAATGATTATCCCACTCATTCACTATAAGAAACCATTGAGGACAAACATTTTCCTAGTGCAGCATTACCCATTAAATCAGTGTGACATGTCACTATGGTGTGTATGCCTTAGATCCAAAAGTAGAGTAGTATAGTTGCCATCTAAATGAAGTATTTTGTAGTAGTGATAGTTCTGTTCCCATATATTTTCTTTTGTTTTTTTATTATTATTCAGTGATAATTAAGATTCTGTGGCCAGAATTAGTCTCCTGTAGGAAAAAAAACACCATTTGTGATAGTCAATAAACATCACATAGTCTTTTAAGAAGGCCTTTTTCAGTTTTGTTCTTAAAGGATATAAATGAAGGCATTTGGACATTTACTACTTGATCTTTCTCCATAGTTTGTTGATACTGACATTTATTAATTTATCACACATTAGGCAGTTCAAGATGATCGGTGTTCAAAGGTGAAATGATGTACATCACAGTTTAGGATAGTAGACACACCTAAGGGAGTATTTTATCTATTTTCTTTTGAATTTTTTATTTTGTATTGGGGCATAGCTGATTAACAATGTTGTGATAGTTTCAGGTGAGCAGTGAAGGGACTCAGCCATACATATACACGTATCCGTTCTTCCTCAAACCTCCCTCCCATTCAGACTGCCACATAACATTGAGCAGAGTTCCATGTGCTATATATTAGGTCCTTGTTGGTTAACCATTTTAGATGTATTTTAAATATATTTAAATATTTTAAATATAGCAGGGTGTACATGTCCATCCAAAACTCCCTAACTATCCCTTCCCCTGAAAATAAGTTCATTTTCTAACTTTGAGTCTCTTTGAGTATTTTAAACCTAATTGTTTGTTACTTCAGCAAAGAGTAATTCAAGAAACTAGTGCTTTTGTCATAAAACTGGAAATCAGGTATTTCTCTTCTGATGGAAAGGAACAAGAATGAAACAGGATTTTATGACTTCATAAGTTTTTACAATTTTTTTTAAAGAAAAGTTAATTTTATACCTTGACCTAAGGACTGACTTCTTTCCTGTTTTACTCTACTCTACTCTATTCTATTTTCTTTCTCTTTTATCTGTTGAGTTATTTTTTCTACCTTTTAGATTTTATTATAATACTAGGAAGCCAGCTTGAAACCATCATGCATCTTGAGTGATTGAAAGTGTCTGTTATGTTGAACTTGTGAGTGGCAGCACACATTAAATTAGTTGCTAGATTTTGCTCTTTGGGGAAAAAAAAATCACCAGTATATCTTCTTTCTGTCTTTGATAGTAACTGCTAGAATTGCCGAGCGTATCAGCTGGCCACTTAATCTAGAGTAATTCTCCTTAATTAAAGGAGTGAACTCGTTATCATTGTTGTACCCTAGACAAGGCCACCTGTCACAATTGCTTGACATGTGATTGTTCTCAGAAACATTTTCCCTAGAGGAGTTTTAGACATTCTCAAAGAGGATATGAAACCAGAAAAAAAAAGAACTTTCATTTTATGGTTGTAGCCAAAATGCCTTTTTAGGTAAACCTAAGTTGACTGACTTATTTGGAATATGATTTTTGAAAAGTAATTGTATCTTTCTTTTTCAACTTTTAAGTCTCTCTCATTTACTCTTTATTTTCTTTTGCAGTTGGACCGACTGGTTGTAGATGCAGCAAAGGAGAAAAGAGAGATGGAGCAGAAACACTCCACCATTCAACAGAAGGTACTTGAGGGGAGGAGTTAGAGGAGATTAATTCCCTTTTTATACAATTTTTTGATTATTGGTTTCAGCAAGGTATCACATTGAAGTAAATTCTTTGAATTGCCTTAATAATTAAATTGTGTAGATGAATTCCTCCATTTTTGTAAAACACAAAATATTTTTCCAGTGCTGAGGTATGTATTTTACTTTTCTTTCATATCAAAATATTTGAGAGCCATGCTCTTGAACAAGTTTATAAAAAAGTCAGTCTCTTAGGGCCTTAACTCATTTAAAAGTGGCCCTTGCATGCTAAGTCACTTCAGTTGTGTACAACTCTTTACGACACTATGGACTGTAGCTTGCTAGGCTCCTCTGTCCATGGAATCTCCACGCTAGAATACTGGAGTGGGTTGTCATTTCCTTCTCCAGGGCATCTTCCTGACCCAGGGATTGAACCTGTGCCTCTTAGGTCTCCTGCGTTGGCCAGTGGGTTCATTACCACTCGGGCCACCTGGGAAGGCCCTTAATTAGAATTTAAAATGCTGCTTATAGTTTCAGTTAGGATATCACCAGGGCTTCCCAGGTGGGGTGAGTGGTAAAGAACCCACCTGCCAATGCGGGAGACACAAGAGACGTGGGTTTGATCCCTGGGTCAGGAAGGATTCCCTGTAGTGGCAACCCACTCCAGTATTCTTGCCTGGAGAATTCCATGGGCAGAGGAGCCTGGCGGGCTACAGTCCATAGGGACACAAAGAGTCATACATGACTGAAGCGACCTAGCCTGCATGCGCGCAAAATATCACCAACCCCTGTAAAAATGTGTGTGTGTGTTAACTAGCAATTTCCAGCTTCAGTCGCTCTAAGGCAACACTTACCCTCTCAAGTGATGCTGAAGTTTCACTTGCATTTCTTGTTAATTTACCTAAGCCTAGGTAAAGTAATATCTGAAAAATATGTATTTAAAAATGAAGATTTTAAAAAAAGATTAAAATGTGAAACCAGGTTTTATTTCTTTGTGCTAAAAGCTTTGAATATGATATACCTGGAACTCAGTATAATAGTATTTTATACAGTCATCAGCGTGGTTTTTGTGTGTGTGTGTGTAGTCATCTGAAAATAAAAGGATAGGACCAGCGGTTGAATGTGTGTAAAAAATGTGTGAAAAGATGTCTTCTATAGTTACCTGGCAGGAGCAATACCACGATTATGAGGGTGGTTTTCCCAAGGGGAGGCTTCTCCATCCCTCTCCTGCAATTTCCCCAAATGTGGGAAACATGACTGCATAATTTTTGGTAGTGGGGGACTGCAGTCATAACCTCCCTAAAAAGAAAAAAAAAGATGTCATCTAGTATTGCTTTAAGAAGGGGAAGATTCATAGCATTACAGGCCTACCTCAAGAAACAAGAAAAAAGTCAAATAAATAACCTAACTCTACACCTAAAGCAACTAGAGGAGGAAGAAATGAAGAACCCCAGGGTTAGTAGAAGGAAAGAAATCTTAAAAATCAGGGCAGAAATAAATGCAAAAGAAACTAAAGAGAGCATAGCAAAAATTAACAAAGCTAAAAGCTGGTTTTTTGAAAAAATAAACAAAATTGACAAACCACTAGCAAGACTCATTAAGAAACAAAGGGAGAAGAACCAAATTAACAAAATTAGAAACGAAAATGGAGAGATCACAACAGACAACACCGCAATACAAAGGATCATAAGAGACTACTACCAGCAGCTCTATGCCAATAAAATGGACAACTTGGAAGAAATGGACAAGTTCTTAGAGAAGTATAACTTTCCAAAACTGAACCAGGAAGAAATAGAAGATCTTAACAAACCCATCACAAGCAAGGAAATTGAAACTGTAATCAGAAATCTTCCAGCAAACAAAAGCCCAGGACCAGATGGCTTCACAGCTGAATTCTACCAAAAATTTAGAGAAGAGCTAACACCTATCTTACTCAAACTCTTCCAGAAAATTGCAGAAGAAGGTAAACTTCCAAACTCATTCTATGAGGCCACCATCACCCTAATTCCAAAACCAGACAAACATGCCACAAAAAAAGAAAACTACAGGCCAATATCACTGATGAACATAGATGCAAAAATCCTTAACAAAATTCTAGCAAACAGAATCCAACAACATATTAAAAAAAATCATACATCATGACCAAGTGGGCTTTATCCCAGGAATGCAAGGATTCTTTAATATCCGCAAATCAATCAATGTAATACACCACATTAACAAATTGAAAGAGAAAAACCATATGATTATCTCAATAGATGCAGAAAAAGCCTTTGATAAAATTCAACATCCATTTATGATTAAAACTCTCCAGAAAGCAGGAATAGAAGGAACATACCTCAACATAATAAAAGCTATATATGACAAACCCACAGCAAGCATCACCCTCAATGGTGAAAAACTGAAAGCATTTCCCCTGAAATCAGGAACAAGACAAGGTTGCCCACTCTCACCACTACTATTCAACATAGTTTTGGAAGTGTTGGCCACAGCAATCAGAGCAGAAAAAGAAGTAAAAGGAATCCAGATAGGAAAAGAAGAAGTGAAACTCTCGCTGTTTGCAGATGACATGATCCTCTACATAGAAAATCCTAAAGACTCTACCAGAAAATTACTAGAGCTAATCAACGAATACAGTAAAGTTGCAGGATATAAAATTAACACACAGAAATCTCTTGCATTCCTATACACTAACAATGAGAAAACAGAAAGAGAAATTAAGGAAACAATACCATTCACCATTGCAACAAAAAGAATAAAATACTTAGGAGTATATCTACCTAAAGAAACAAAAGACCTATACATAGAAAACTATAAAACACTGATGAAAGAAATCAAAGAGGACACAAACAGATGGAGAAATATACCGTGTTCATGGATTGGAAGAATCAATATTGTCAAAATGGCTATACTACCCAAAGCAATCTACAGATTCAATGCAATCCCTATCAAACTACCAACAGTATTTTTCACAGAACTAGAACGAATAATTTCACAATTTGTATGGCAATACAAAAAACCTCGAATAGCCAAAGTAATCCTGAGAAAGAAGAATGGAACTGGAGGAATCAATCTGCCTGACTTCAGACTATACTACAAAGCCACAGTCATCAAGACAGTATGGTACTGGCACAAAGACAGAAATATAGATCAATGGAACAGAATAGAAAGCCCAGAGATAAATCCACGAACCTATGGTCACCTTATCTTTGACAAAGGAGGCAAGGATATACAATGGAAAAAAGACAACCTCTTTAACAAGTGGTGCTGGGAAAACTGGTCAACCACCTGTAAAAGAATGAAACTAGAACACTTTCTAACACCATACACAAAAATAAACTCAAGATGGATTAAAGATCTAAATGTAAGACCAGAAACTATAAAACTCCTAGAGGAGAACATAGGCAAAACACTCTCCGACATAAATCACAGCAGGATCCTCTATGACCCACATCCCAGAATTTTAGAAATAAAAGCAAAAATAAACAAATGGGACCTAATGAAACTTAAAAGCTTTTGCACAACAAAGGAAACTATAAGCAAGGTGAAAAGACAGCCCTCAGATTGGGAGAAAATAATAGCAAACGAAGCAACAGACAAAGGATTAATCTCAAAAATATACAAGCAACTCCTCCAGCTCAACTCCAGAAAAATAAATGACCCAATCAAAAAATGGGCCAAAGAACTGAACAGACATTTCTCCAAGGAAGACATACAGATGGCTAACAAACACATGAAAAGATGCTCAACATCACTCATTATCAGAGAAATGCAAATCAAAACCACAATGAGGTACCATTACACACCAGTCAGGATGGCTGCTATCCAAAAGTCTACAAGCAATAAATGCTGGAGAGGGTGTGGAGAAAAGGGAACCCTCTTACACTGTTGGTGGGAATGCAAATTAGTACAGCCACTATGGAAAACAGTGTGGAGATTTCTTAAAAAGCTGGAAATAGAACTGCCATATGACCCAGCAATCCCACTTCTGGGCATACACACCGAGGAAACCAGATCTGAAAGAGACACGTGTACCCCAATGTTCATCACAGCACTGTTTATAATAGCCAGGACATGGAAGCAACCTAGATGCCCATCAGCAGATGAATGGATGAGGAAGCTGTGGTACATATACACCATGGAATATTACTCAGCCATTAAAAAGAATTCATTTGAATCAGTTCTAATGAGATGGATGAAACTGGAGCCCATTATACAGAGCGAAGTAAGCCAGAAAGATAAAGACCATTACAGTATACTAACACATATATATGGAATTTAGAAAGATGGTAACGATAACCCTATGTGCAAAACAGAAAAAGAGACTCCTATGTATAGAACAGACTTGTGGACTCTGGGAGAAGGCGAGGGTGGGATGTTTCAAGAGAACAGCATTGAAACACGTATATTATCTAGGGTGAAACAGTTCACCAGCCCAGGTTGGGTGCATGAGACAAGTGCTCGTGCCTGGTGCACTGGGAAGACCCAGAGGGATTGGGTGGAGAGGGAGGTGGGAGGGGGGACCGGGATGGGGAATACATGTAAAAAAAAAAAAAGAAATCTATCCTCTAGGTATTGAGCAGTCAAATCAACTTTTGTTATGGTTTATTTAGAATTTAAAATGCCAGTAAACTAGATCTAATATAGAAGATGTCAGTGAAAAAAAAAAAGAAAGTGAAATCAGTAATAAAAGTTAAATTTTTTTTGGTGATGGGTTGTTAATACTCAAAGAGAAGCATTTTTTTAAAAAGGGGAAGATTTTTTTACCAGATAATGTTTAATTCATTTCTTCTAGTTATAGTCAGGTAAGACTGCCTCCATGTTTTATTTTGTTTAAAGTTAGAATCACTTTTGGTTGGATAACTTGTTTTAATGACATTACTATGGAAAGATTTTTAAGAATTGGGACCAATCATTTTTAATTAAAATGAGAGGTCATGATATTTAGAAGCATGTGACTGTTTAAACTGAATTATTTAATGAATATTATGCATCTTTTAATACGTTTCCCTATTGTATGTCAGTGTCATACTGAATGTCAAAGAGTAGTAGATTATTAAATCTGATTAATGAATTGGATTTTAAATAGTGGTCAGTTGTTGTTTTCCTTAAAGAGAATAATGCTGTTTTTGCTTATTATGAGTACTTAACCTTTTTTTTTTTTGCCCTTAAATGCTGACCCAAGGCTGCATTACAGGTAAAAAAAGGAAAAGACCTAATCAAACTAAAAAGCAAGGAAACGTATGTCTAATGTAATTATTTAGATCTTTTGGAATTGAAATAGATCAGTTGAAGAAACAGTGGTGCTGTGCACATTCATGTACATGCCTTTTGGATATGTGCACGCATTTCTGATAGATTTAGACCTAGGAATAAGATTGCTGGGTCATACCATGTGTGTATGTGTGTATATATGTTCAATGTTAGTAGATAATGCTGTTATTTTTCAAAATGTTATACCATTCCGGGTAAGCAGAACTGTGTGAGAGTTTCCGTTGCTCTTTGCCACCTCATCATATTGTGAGAGTTTTCAATTTTTTTTTTGCCTATTTTGGTGAGTAGATATGGACATCTTGTGGTTTTAATTTATGCTTTAGTCACTAATGACCTTCTCCGATGTCTGTTGGTCATTTGGATATCCTCCTTGTTAAATGTCTGTTAATCTTTCTCTCACTTTTCCATCAGGTTGTCCAACTAACTGTTGATCATATCCTCAAATATTCTAGACGTTAGTACCCCTTTGGGGTATATACATTTTAAATTTTCACATAGTTTTAAAAGTATCTTTTCTGTTCGGTGCCTTTTGTGTCCTTCCCAACCCAAGATCACAGCAATATATCTCCTGTAAAATCTTCTGTTTGTGTGTGCATGCTAAGTCGCTTCAGTTGTGTCTGACTCTTTTCGACTCTTTGGACTGTAACCTGCCAGGCTCCTGTCCATGGGAATCTCTAGACAAGAATACTGCAGTGGGTTTTCATGCTCTTCCCAATCCAGGGATTGAGTCTGTCTTTGGCAGGAGGATTCTTCTTCCCACTAGAACCACCTGGGAAGCTTTGCTTTTTATATCTAGGCCTTTAATCAGTCTGTAACTGTGTGTGTGTGTTTGTGTGTGTGAGGTAGAGATCCAGTTTCCTTTTATTTTCACATTGCTAGCTAGATGATCTAGATTCGGTTATTAAAAAGTTTGTTTTTCCCCAACTACTCAGTGTTGTATACTCTTTTACATAGGACATTTCCATACATGTGAGGTCTGTTTCAGACTCTTTATTCTGTTTCATTGGTCTTTTTGTTTTAATTACACCAATACCATGCTATCTTAATTGTTTTAGCTTTAAAGCATATCTTGGTAATCTGACAAAGCAAAGCCTCCTACCTGCCCTTCTTCAAAAGTGAATTGCTAAAGTTCTGTATGTCCATATAAATACAGCGGCTTTTCAGGTTGCATAAAAATAGCTTTGCATTGGATCTGTGAATGAATCTGGGGAAGAATTAATATCTTTATTTTAAATGTCTTCCAGTTCATGAGCTTTGAATATTTCTCTGTTCATTTGTTTTTTAAAATATCCTTCATAAAATTTCATCATTTTCTTTATCTTTTGATAGGTGTATTTCTAGATACTTGTATTGGAAATATTGTTGTAAATGTTATCCTTTAAAAATATATTTTCTCACTGTTTACTTTTGTTGTATATTAGAATAAAATTTGCTATTTGTGTGTTGATTTTTTAACCAGTAGTAGTCTTTTTAAGCTCTCTTTACTACTACTACTAATATACCTCTGAATTCTTTTGGATGTGAAGTGAACAGTCACATCGTCTGCAAATAATCCTTTCCTTTTTGTTTATCTTGCTGGCTAGGACTTTCAAAATAATCTTGAATCAAAGTGCTTATAGTGGTCTTTCTTGTCTTGCTTGCAATTTCAAAAGGGAAAATTTCATTTGAGTCCCTTCATTGTCTTGCCTTATATTCCTTGGGCTCCACACCAAAGCTTCAAGTTCTCCTGATAAGACAAACCTCTGATGTTACAAAGAAATCTTTGGAATGTTGCCAAACTCGATTATATCTATTGCTGACATGATTTTGTCAGTATAATTAAATAAATTATAGCTCCAAATAAATTTTAAATGAAGGAATTGAAATTTCCTTGATTTCCCACCCCCCCCCCAAAGTAAAAGCAGAAAGAAATGTAGCAGTTTATTTACAGATTATTTCATTTGATTATTTTGGATTATCATGTCCTTCATGATTAAGTTTTGAGATATATCAGCAGTGTTTGCGTGTAATTCTGAAGTATGCCTGCTTCCTTTTCCCATCATCATGGACTCTAAGATTTAGAAAGCTCTTAGGTGATTATCATTCTGCTCCTCCAGTGCAGAACCCCTGCTTTCCAGTATTCTTGGCAGATGGTCATCCAGTCTGTACCAAAATCTTTCTCAAGTTGGAAAGTCTACTCCTCTCTAATAGTATAGCATTCTAATTTTGCTTATTGGTCCAGAAGTAATTTTGAAGTTTCAAGACTGATTTTTTAGAGTTTTCAATTTGGACATCACAATGATTTTTCAGTTTTGTTGAAATTACTTTGGAAATTCACCAGGAAATATTTTAAATATAGAATTTCTGATTTTAAAATTTAGTTGCTCCTTGGAGGAAAATTGAAAGTTTGAATTGCATTCAAGTGAAAACTAGAATGGTTAGATGATTGAAGATAACTATGAGTGGTTTTATAATCCTTATAAAAAAGTGAACTTGGAATGCCTACTTCACACTGTGGTGGTGCTTCTTTGCAAAAATAAACTTTTTGTAGTTCTGTTTTTGAACCCCCAAATGTGGAGTTATTGTTTCTACCAAGAACAGTATAACAGTATAAAACTACCGTAATAGTAATATATTTAGAAAATAGTGGTAGATTTAACTAATCCCAAGTAGAAATACATATATTGCTTTAAAAAAATTGTTAGCAGACACATCAATATTGGGATTAAATGAAAACATTTAAAACAGCACCCATAGAATATCACGTTGTTCCCTTTGTCTAGTTTTTACATATTATTTTGTTCTTTTAATAACAGTGTGTACATTTTATTTATCCAGGTTATATAATTTATAAAATTTTTGTATTTGTTTTTCTCTTTTAATGTGTATTCTGTATAGTTGTTTGTGTTATTGCATAATAGTCCACGGAATTACATTAATATGTTGAAGCATTCTTCTATTATTGAACATTTAGGCTTCCCCTTATGAATGTTGTTGATATAACTATCCTAATACAATGCTTTTCTACTGTTTGAGCTGTTTCTCTAGGATAGATTTGTCTAGGGAAACCAGTAAAAACCATACAAACTTTTTAATGTGTTATTTTGTTTAGGATTTCTCCAATGATGATTCTAAGCTAGAATATAACGTAGATGCTGCAAATGGCATTGTTATGGAAGGTTATCTGTTCAAACGTGCCAGCAATGCCTTCAAAACTTGGAACAGGTAATATATTTCAAACACCAGTCTTGCTCTTTCTATATCCTCTGTTTTCTGACTTTCTCTGTGGTTTAGTGACTCTTTCCTTCATAATTCTCTACATTCATAGTCCCTAGTAACTTTTCTGAACTACGTGTATTGGAGATAAGTTGCCTCTCTAGGAAAAAGGCCTTAAGAAGCAACTGAAAAATAACACTAGCAAATCTAAATTGTAAAATTTGAGCAAAGTTTAAATCAGGAAGCTAGAAGAGTTTTTATAATGCTTGGTGTGTAATGACTAGGTTACTACAATGAATAAGTTTTTAGATGTGAGCTTCCTCTGATATTTGCTATGAAATAGATCTGATTGGAAGTTATATATTGAGTATAATGGATGAATAGGACAAGTGGGCTTTTTTTCCTTTTTTGGGTTCCTCCTTTGTATGCATGTTTATATACATATTTACTTAATTTTGGCTTGTGAATCTTTAAGTGAGGTGATCCTGGTTTCTTGATCTTTTCAATAACTTTAACCGGGCTTTTTAGAATGTGGGATGAGTTTTATATGTGAAGTGTATGTGGCAGCTGGTACTCCTTTTTTCTTAACTTGATGCCTACTGAAGACTTAAATGTTTTTTCTAAACTGATTGTTTAAAATAAATGTTGATCAAATAAATATATTTTAAATGAATGTGTAAAATATAGTATTATATTTCTCATGTATTAATAAAGTGAAATAATTTCAGACATGAAGGCAAAAGGAAAGAGTAATTGTCTCTGGATCATCTTTCTGAATAGCAGTGATTAGTCTTTTATTCAAGGATAACTCCTTTGTGGAAAAAAAAATAATTATTTTGTAATAGTTGAGAATAGTATCAGATTCTGGTTAATTGATTTAATTACTATTATTGGTTGAATGTGTATATTTTATTTGCTGCTTGAACAGGATATGAATTCACTTAATGATAGAGAAGATTGTTTTCTTTTTTAAAAAAGTGGACATTAGCAAAATAAATAAATTTTCTTGGTAAGTTTAATTTGGTATACATTTTTGCTAATTTAACTGGAAACGATTATGCTTGAATATTCAAAATATTGAAATGGATTCTTTGTGTACTTATTTTGAGTTCTTGCTGATGAGGTTCTATTCAAAAAATATTTACTGATATTTTCAAATGTCATTTTAGTATCACTGTATCAGTGTTATTTGTATCAATTTAGTGTCAGTGTCCTTGAGTATCTCTTTAGCATTTGATATTGTCAGATGTTTAAATGGGACATGGTGTGTTGTATTTGAAGTAATTGTTCTTTACCTGAGAGTGAATATAAATGGGAAAGAATGGTGATTGTATTTGATATTAAGTTTCTTTGTGTGATGTAGAACTTTAAAAATAATACTTGAATATAGGAGGATCTACTCAGATGGCCTGGTTAAGAAAGAAGGTTTTAACTGTTGTAAAGTAAAAATGTAAAACTGAAATTCTGTTTTCTAAACTGTAAAAATTAAGCCAATAATCTTTTAAGCCTTTCCTGGCAAATTTCCCTGACCAGAGTAGGAAATTAATATAAGAAATAGTGTGATTGTCAAATTTTTTTAATGAAGAGTTTTAAACCAGTACAATTTCACGAGGTAATGTTAGAATTGAATTTTAACCTTCAGATTTCAAAACAACTTTCTTAAAATTTAACACAGTGAAAATACAATAAGTCCGTAAAAACCATACCATTATGTTAAGAAGAAATGAAATGAACTTCCATGGAGTACTCTTAGTCAGAAATGCTTGCAGACTTCAAAATGAAGCACAATAAGTGTTAGTGGAAAATTACATTCCCATTTAGGACAACAGAAGAAAATTAATTGATTCAAGCATGGATCTTTTTGTTCTTATATGTTTCATGAATTTTATTAATCGGCATAGACCTTAAACCATAACTAAAATCAGTAGAGAATAGCTGTTAAATTCTCAGTTTGCAGATATGTTACCTACCATTTGCCAAGTAAGAATGATAGTAACTTTGAAAATGATGCCACCTTTTAAAGGAGATGCCATTTCTATATGGTAGGATAACAGTTATTGATTAAAATCATAGATTGTAGTTAACACCCTGATATTTAGTAAAGAAAATGGAAGTGCAGGGACATGTTTGCTCATCCAAGGTCATACACTTGGTTTGTGACAAAATTGAGGCTCAAAACCTGGCATTTTAGGAAAGTTGCTATGAAAATGCCAAACAGTCTGTATTTTGATAAGATACGATACAGCTTTGGTAAAAACAACAACAAAAATAGTTTAAAAACTATTTTAAAAAACTTTCCTAATGCATTTGCATTATTAAGAATAAATTATGGATAGCAAATTATTCATTTTCATATACCTTTAAAGAATATTTTGATGAAAACACTAATTAAAAGCAGACTTGTAAATAATATAGCATATAAACATAAGAAACTCTTGTCAAAGATATAAGTCAGCAACCTTTTAACAAAAGTCTTAAATATTTTACAGGTTATAGGTCAATAACTATAAAAGGGAGAAGAAAGAGAAGCCTCTTAAATGTTACTTAGAATTCTCTTCTGCTTTTCAATTTTAAAAATTTGGAATGTATCTAAATTTTTTTTTTTAATATGAGGTTACCAAAAATCTAGTCTCAGGAAATATTTGCAAATAATTTTCTTTTACCTATATATGATCTCAGACTCTTTCCTACTTGTCTAGTAAGTTCTATGTCCAGCTTAATTTAATATATTTTACTAGTCTCTGAATAAAAGACTGTGTATTTGTGATATTTGTGCCTTAGCTACAAAAATTCAGGAATTCAACTGTTCAAGCATACAGATTTTTTTCTGCCCACTTTTTTTTTTTTTAAGGTTGTTTGTGGATTCGATTTAGGAAACATACTTTCTTGTAGTGACTCTGAGAGGTTTCAGTCATATGATGACAAATTTGCTTTTGTCTATAGCTTTATGGACTAGAAGCACACATATTTCAGAGTCAACTTTTAAAAAAGATCTTCCTGAGAGAAATGTGAACTTGACTAGGAATTTCCAGTCAGTTTTAAAACCTGATGCTATATTTCATAAAATCTAAGTATATTTTGAAAGCATCATTCTATAATTTGAAATTTAACCAAAGAGATGGTATTTTTATGTGGTATGATTGAAATGGTGTAAGAAGTGAAATGTTTTATGTCTTATGTGAATTTTTGAGCTTATTTTTCTCGTTGGTTTCAGATTTCTAATTTGTAGTGTCTCAAGATTTTTAAATGTCTGTAATATATATCTTTTGAAGATGTGATATCTACAAAATAGTCTTTCCAGACCATCTTCTCATTGTGGCAACTTCATTTCAAGCTCAAGTCAGAGCTAGATGGATTACTAATACCTATATTTATCTTTTGCTTTTCATGATAAATTTAGAAAGTATGAAGGAACAATAAAAATAATTAAATATTAGCATTATTTAGTAATGAACTGTTTAATAAGGAAATGGAATAATTAACACTGTGCTCGGTCTTTGTTAAATTGGAAAATGTAGCTAAAAGCATAAAATGTATTATACAGTATCTTAAAACAAAGTATTCTGTTTCTAGTACAGATAGAAATAAGAAGTGCATACATAGATTAAAGATAAACTCTACTTATGTGTGGCCTTAAGAGTGTCTGCTATCATTTGATGAAAAGAGGATGAGCCGGTGGGAGGAGCTTTTCCTTTTGAAATGTTCTCATTTGTTTCAGGTTTATGTAGACATAGCTGTAGTGATTGTTTTCTTTAATTTTTTAAGATGAGAAAAGGTACTATTTATATTTTAGAGATATAGCCATAGAGGTAGATAACTTCCAATAATAGTAAATTGTGCAAATATTCTCAATAGTAGAGTGTACAGAATTTTCCCTGCCATAATGCTTTGAAGAATATTTTGAATATTTATAAAATATTAGCCTTTCAGATTCCTAAGTGTTGGAATTATATAAATGCGTATATATATATAATATCAGCAAAATGCAACAGATATTCTTGATTCTTTTGTTAGGTTATGAGCTTAAGCTGGTTCCTTTAATTCTTGCTTTGTTTTCATATCATGCTAGTCCTTTGCTTATTTTGCACATTTGCGTTTTCATTCTTTTACCACCTTTCCCTTATGTTTTAATCCTGCCCCATTTTTTCACATGACAGGAAAAAGCCCGATCATATCAGGTACCAAATGGCTTCCTTCCCCTCACCCCTGCCTTACTCCAACTTCCTCTTTGGCACGAGAAAGCTCGTAATTAACCTGCATTTCAGTTGGATTACTTGCAATGGATATAAAGTCTCTTAATGTTTTAAATTGGGAAGAAACTGTAAACATCTTATTTGAGGAACAGAATTATACCTTTTCATTGCTTATATCCTCAATTTGTTTTAATCTGGAAAGGAACATTTGATGTGTAAATAGTTGTCCAAAGAAGACATAGCTTCAGTAATACGAGTACTATGAGTAGGTATGTATGGGTGTATGTGTACACACACGCACATATATTTATACACACACACATATGTATATATGTAGGTATGTGTTTTTTAGGGGAAATAAGCTAGTAAATGCTTTTTAAATTTTTGAAGTAGTAATTAGGTATTAGTCTCTTTGGTACTCACCTTATTAATTATGTTTAAAAGAAACATTGCCAATTCCTAGCTTTTTTGTTTGTTTTACCACTTTGGTCTTTTTCCTTGTGAAAACTAAATTGAATTTTAAATAAAGGAACATGTATATGTTCAAGCTTTTAATTTTACTAAATGTTAACTATTTGGCATCTATATGAATCTGCACATGAACCCATCATTTGTATGGTTTTAGTGATAAAGCTTCTACTTTTAAAAATAAATAGTGATAAAGATTTAAAAGTTTGGCTTTTACCCATGTTCTTGATTTCAAGTAAGTCCTGGGACTAGTGTTCAAAAATTGTAAAAGATACTTGATTTATTTTTTAATGTATTCCCCCTCAATTTTGTCGTATAGAAGCTCTCATTGATATTTAAAAACTAATATTTGTTTATGAATGAAAATTTTGGTCTAAAATTTTTATTATATTGAGTTGTCTCAATTTGAGATAGATATAAAGTGGTGTCTTAGTTTTCTTAAAACCTAAAAAATTTCACTTTTGAATACTTATATTTTGGCTTTTTGGTCAGTTTATGAATCTTGTAGAATATAGTATAGTTGTCAGCATAATGCTTTCCAACATTTGTCTTTTTTATTATTTAATTACCTTTTAAAGTATCTTCAAATTGTGGGTGGCATGAGCTTGAAATATTAAATATTTTTCCATATCCGGTAGATTGTGAATATTTTTCCTTTTATTGGAGGTCTTAATAATAACTAGGATTATTCATTCTATAGGAGCAAAGATTATATTTTATTTTGCTTACCTGATAAAAGTCTTGATCAATGTAAATGAGTATAGTTAGCTTTTTTTTTTTTAATGGTAGAGTAGGGGGGATAGTATCATAAGACATACTGAGTTTAGCAATTAAAATTTTTTTATACCCAGGATAGTTGTGATTTTTTTTCACTTAGGAGATGTGAAATTAAGATGAATTCATAGTGTCTTGAATTTATAATATAAACAAAAATTGATGATGTGAGAAAATTCCTCATAAGCAGATAAATGGCAGGGGAACTAAGTTTCAGAAATATAAATGATCTATAAAGTTAATAAACAGAATCTAACAAAAAACCATAAGTTTTTATCTAGTGTTTTGTTTTTATGTTTAGAGGCTATTATTCTGAGATTCAGCAGGTCAAAAGAAATTTACTTTCTGATGACCTCAGAAGCATTAAAAGTTTACCTGGTTGCTTTTCCATTGTTCAGTGAAATTCTTTGTAGTTTTTCATCAAATTATATAGTATTACTATATATAAAACAAGAATTTTTATTAATATAGTTTACTTCAAATGATTTTTAAAATAATACTTGAATCAGTGTCAGAGATTGTTTCCATTGCATGTCATCCCATGTGGCAGGGCTGCACCATTTTGTTTGTTTGGAGGTATTTCCTTTAACATTTCTAACCAACCATGTGTCCCAGAACAAAGAGACCCAGAAGTTCTTCCTTTTCTAGCCCATCTCTTGATGATTTGTGTTTAGAGGCAACCAACTTGGTTTTTATCTAGATGCTTGTTTAACAGATCTGTATTTTAATGGTAAAGGTGAATACCTTTTTAAATAGCAAGAAAACCTAACAATCTGTCTAGCTTAAAAATAGAAAAGCATCTAATCATTTTCTCAGCCTTGGAGAATTAACTTAAATTTTTTGAAATAGAAGTTCTAAACATGTCTAAATACAATTTTTAGTGCTTTGTACTAGTATCAATGAAAAGGTAGAATCTCTATCTGCTAATAGATTAATAACTAATGTTTACAATAGAAATCATCTCACATGTAACTAATTTTAAAATAATGACTCAAATATTGTTTTACCCTTCATGCTTGATGAGAATTTTTGCTTCCTTTTATGAATGGCTTTTGGCTGTGATTTTTTTTTTTGTAAGTCTTCAGGTCTTTTATTGTTTTAATAAATTAGAATTAGTAAATATGCCATACATAGGTTAGTTTTTTCTTCTGAAGAGGATTGCAATAAAATGTCAATTAATTTACAGTAATGAGCAGAACAATATAAATAATTGGGTGACTCATTTTTAGTAATAACTTTGATTTTTCTGCTAAGAAGTATTTTACATGAAAGTAAGGCCAAGAGAATTGGCGACAGTCTCCTATTTGATATAATTTCTAAAAGGATGATATAATTTTCTGTTTTGCTTTACAGATCAAATGCTTGTTGAATTAGGTGCAGAAAGGTTGAAAACAGAGCACCATTTGTTTTGGTCTTTTATTGTATACAAATGAATAGTCTTATTTATAATATAAATTTATTTCTACTTTATAACACAAGCAAATTATTTGGGGGGAAAGCTTTAGTTATTTTTGGGGAAGCTCAAAAAGCTAAATTTTTATTTTTAAAAAAATTATTTGATAGTGGCACAAAGTATAACAACTTTTGTTAGGGTATAAATTTCTGACATAAAAATGAATAAAAAATATGGTAGTTTTGTTTTCTTATTCTGTGGTTTTAAATTGCCTGAAATTTTTAATTTCAGTAGTTATCTCATTGACATCAGTTTATATAAAGCAAAACAAAACAATGCTCTTCTAAAAACTTAATTACTATAAACTGTTTTTCTAGTACCTTCTCAAATATTTTGTTTCTAACAACAACTGAAATAAATTATGTTTGTGAAAATGTAATCTATTTTATATTTATTTAGACGCTGGTTTTCAATACAGAATAATCAGTTGGTTTACCAGAAAAAGTTTAAGGTAGGTGTTTTGTTAAGTAATTAAGTGAAAAACCCATTGAATCCTCCAGTTTTTATCTGTTCCTCTTGGTATAGCACTGAAGTTCGTAAATATGTATGTGTGCAAAATTATCATTTGTTAGTTTTATGTTTGGTTGTGTATAATAGGACTCAGGAGTGGAAAGTATCAACATTGTTTACTGAATTCTTAATTCCTGTCTTTGAGATGGATTGTTGTGTGTCTCAGGATTACTACTTTTATTTCTTCACATATTTCTTTGTCCGTTTGTGAGACAGGAATTCCCTAATACTGTTTTGGTGCTAAAGGAAAGGTTGCGTTTAAGAAATATCACCTTAGGACCAAAAGTGGTAATAGAGAAGGGTTAACAATTACATTAAAATATAAGCTTGAATTCATTTAAATAGAAACTTCTAAATTTGTTAATATTGTTTTTACGTATTTGTTTTCTTGAGCCTGATTTTAAGAGTGAGGTATTTTCATTTAATGGAAAGGTATAATGAGATTATATGTGACTTGATAATGTTAAAGATAATTAGAGAAAAGAACTATTAGTTAATTGATGATTTGATTTTTACCTAGTTAACCTTTATGAATAATATGTTCAACTTCAAATACCCACCTACTTTCCTCTTGAGATGACACAATGTGAAATTTTACTTGCTAGGTTCTATGGTAGCAGGTTTATTTCATACAAATTCTTTAACTATTCAGTTCATGTTTTTTTCTACCCTGATAAGCTTGGTTTTGAATTTTCTATTTTTATTAAGTACTAAAAAATGATTCAAAAAATTCTCATTTTCTTAGATATTTTAAGAAGCATGTAAAAGCTTTTTGTTTTTCTTTCAGTTATTAAAACTAGACTCATGAAAGGCTTCTTTTTTGGAGGAGAGTGGCTTTTATCATATGTGAGTGGGGATCAGGAGAAAAATCGATTTGAAAGAAAATGGAAGAAAATTAACAGGAAGCTAACATTTATTGAGCACCTGCTAATTGACTGTGAAGTGTTGGACTAAGTTTATATGAACTATTTCATTTAATTCTTATACAGCAATTTTATGAGGCAGATAAAATTAATAGGACATAATTACCTTTATACAGAATTAGTTATATCTATATTGATAACTCCTATTTCTGATCTAAAATAAGATCAAATATAAACCTTTAAAATTAGACCATTTATTCCAAGTACTGTTTTTTTTTCCAAGTACTGTTTTTAAGTATATTTTTATAGGTAGTGATATTTAAAGTCTAGGTTGATAAATACAGGAGTTTTGTTTCCTTGTTGTAGGATAATCCCACTGTGGTGGTGGAGGATCTCAGGCTCTGCACAGTGAAACATTGTGAGGACATAGAACGACGATTCTGCTTTGAGGTGGTCTCTCCAACAAAGTGAGTGGTTCTAAAGAATTTGAGAGTTGTTTTCGTGTTTCTATAGGTTGTCTTAAAGAACTTTCCAGAATACAGAAAGATTTGTTACAGTTGTAAGAGCTAAAGAGGAAAAAAGTGTTCTCAAATTAAATTTGAATTATGAATGATCACACACATATTAATGATTACAAGTCAGATTTTTATGTAACTTTTATGCAGTATCATAGTCCTTAAATTCTGATGATTACTATGGCTATATGGAAACATTTTAACTGTCATGGTAATGAGCTGAAGTCATATATCAGATAAATTTCTTTGATAACTTATTATTTCATATGTCTCCCCAATGAAAAATATTAATGTTATTTTATGTGGCAAATTTAAAGTTTTTTTTTAATACACAGAATAGGTGATTTGTTTTCAGTAGGTAATTTATTTCATTGGCTTCTTGATTTCTTTATGAACATACTACCTAAAGATAGTGAAATAAAACCTTTCAACACATTTTTTGTTAGAAAATTATTATATAGCAAAGTTGACAAAAAATAAACCTTATTTTTTGGGTTGATTTAGTGTCTGAGAAAACAATGTTATTTCCTTTTAGAAGTTGTATGCTTCAGGCAGATTCTGAAAAGCTGCGCCAGGCATGGATTAAGGCTGTTCAGACCAGTATTGCTACTGCTTACAGAGAGAAGGGTGATGAATCAGAGGTTAGTAAACAGTATTGCAATACAAAGTGATATTTTGCCAAAGTTTTTCATTTTAATTGCAACATTGCATGATTACAACATTCTTTTTTTATGGAGGATGATTTTTTGGTATTGAAATGGGTTTTATTTTTAAAGTATACATTTAGTTTCTTATTTATTTCTCTTGACTTTTCCTTTAATTCCAATATTTCAGTGTATGTTTAATCTAGTATTTGAATATGTGTCTCAGGTATTCTGATGCAAGTATTTTTCCTCAAATACTTTATTAATCTAATAAAAAAGTGAATGTGAAAGGTGAACACTAAAACTGGGTGAAGAGCAAAAAAAAAGAAAGCTCATTATTTTTTAGTTGAAATCTCCCTGGAGAAGATAAGCTGAATATAGAGTCTGGGGTTGTAGTCTGGAGTTAGCTACCCAGTGAGTTTACAGACTCTTTTGAGCAAGGCCTTGAGTGAGTCTTAAGAAATGAAAAATGTCTTTATTCTATCCTCGCATTTGTTAGTTTGGTTAAGTGTGGAATTTTTAGGTTGGTAGTGATTATTAAGAATTTTAATGGCAGTGTTTTCTTGTTTCCAGAGTTGCTGTTGGAGTCTTTCTTGTTAGCAATCTTTAGTATTCCTCCTTTCCAATTTCTTTGTTTTCTTTTTCTGAAATCTTTGGACTGGTCTTATGATTCTCTTATTTTTTTTGTGTGTGTGTGTGTTTTTTTTTTTTTTTTTTTGCTCTGCAATCTGGGAGATTTTACCAGTTAGTCTTCCAAACCTTCTATTGAATATTCCAGTTGTGCTAGCACATATTAATTTTGAAGAGTTTCTTTTTGTTTATTGAATGTTTATATACATCAACCTGTTCTTTTTTTCGTGCATGTGGTGTTAGAGTTGTGTTTATTAATCTTGACTGCACAGTATGATAATACAGGAAGTTTTAAAAAATCCTGGTGCTTAGGTGCCACCCCAGAACAGTTGAATGGAGTTGGGACCCAGATATCAATATTTTTAAAAGCTTTCTACTAATAAGTGATTTCTCTGTTCAGGCAGTGTTGAGAACCATTTTATTAGGGGCTTTCCTTGGCTATCTTGTTTATCTGCTCATGGTTGCAAGTGCTGTAAGAACATAGGCTTTGTTGACTGTGAACTTCTCCGCAGTGTGGACCATTTGTTGAGGAACAATTCGAGTTAGGATCTTTGGAGTCTTTTCAGCTAAGATTCCCGAGAAAAGACTCACTATTCTCCTGTGTAGGGGTAAGGGGCTGGCCGGGAGTTAATTGCTGAGGAACCCAGCATTCAGTTATGTATATGTTCATTTAATCCTGTGCTTACCTCCTTTTAGGTAAATGCCATCTAGTCACTTTCTGTTTTCTTTCTCAGTGAATGAACCTCTTGTCATTCTTTGTATGTCTTTATATGTCTTGTCATTCTTTGTATGTATTCTATGTCTTTGTAGTGAATAGTTCACTAATGGCAGCTTTGGGGAGGGGACCTTTGATATAACTTCTTAATAATTTCTCTGACTTTTCATCCCCACTTCCAAGATTAACTGGTACAAATCTTTGAGCCTTTTGTCTATTATGCAATGTCAGTTGATGAACTCTTAGATTTTTCTTACTATTTCCTTAGATTTTGCCTTGGTCTACTCTGTTACCATTCATCCAGCCACTTTGCAGCTCCCCAGATTTTGTTGCTCTTATTTTTTTTTCTGTTATCCCTATTCTTGTGGATAAATTTTTTTTTAAAATTAAAAAACCTTAAGTTTCTACAGTTCAGTTGCTCAGTCATGTCCTCCAACTCTTTGTGACCCCATGAACTGCAGCACACCAGGCCTCTTTGTCCATCACCAACTCCTGGAGTCCACCCAAACCCAATTCTGTTGAGCCAGTGATGCCATCCAACAATCTCATCCTCTGTCATCCCCTTCTCCTCCTACCGTCAATCTTTCCCAGCAACAGGGTCTTTTCAAAAGAGTCAGCTCTTTGCATCAGGTGGCCAAAGTATTGGAGTTTCAGCTTCAACATTAGTACTTCCAATGAACACCCAGGACTGATCTCCTTTAGGATGGACTGGTTGGATCTCCTTGCTGTGCAAGGGACTCTCAAGAGTCTTCTCCAACACCACAGTTCAAAAGCATCAGTTCTTCTGAGCTCAGCTTTCTTTATAGTCCAACTCTCACATCCATACATGACTACTGGAAAAACCATAGCCTTGACTAGCCGAGCCTTTGTTGAAAAGGTAATGTCTCTGCTTTTTAATATGCTGTCTAGGTTGGTCATAACTTTCCTTCCAAGGAGCAAGCGTCTTTTAATTTCATGGTTGCAGTCACCATCTGCAGTGATTTTTGAGCCCGAATAAATAAAGTCTGCAGCTGTTTCCACTGTTTCCCCATCTGTTTGCCATGAAGTGATGGGAGCAGATGCCATGATGTTAGTTTTCTGAATGTTGAGCTTTAAGCCAACTTTTTCACTCTCCTCTTTCACTTTCATCAAGAGGCCCTTTAGTTCTTCTTCACTTTCTGCCATAAGGGTGGTGTCATATGCATATCTGAGGATATTGATATTTCTCCTGGCAATCTTGATTCTAGCTTGTGCTTCCTCCAGCCCAGCGTTTCTCATGATGTACTCTGTATATAAGTTAAATAAGCAGGGTGACAATATACAGCCTTGATGTACTGCTTTTCCTATTTGGAACCAGTCTGTTGGTCCATGTCCAGTTCTAACTCTTCCTTCCTGACCTGCATACAGGTTTCTCATGAGGCAGGTCAGGTGGTCTGGTATTCCCATTTCTTTAAGAATTTTCCAGTTTATGGTGATCCACACAGTCAAAGGCTTTGGCATAGTCAATAAAGCAGAAATAGATGTTTTTCTGGAACTCTCTTCCTTTTTCTATGATTCAGCAGATGTTGGCAATTTGATCTCTGGTTCCTCTCCCTTTTCTAAAACCAGCTTGAACATCTGGAAGTTCACGGTTCACATACTGCTGAAGCCTGGCTTGGAGAATTTTGAGTATTTACTAGCATGTGAGATGAGTGCAATTGTGTGGTAGTTAGAGCATTCTTTGGCATTGTCTTTCTTTGGGCCTGGAATGAAAACTGACCTTTTCCAGTACTGTGGCCACTGTTGTGTTTTCCAAATTTGCTTATAAAGTGCAGCACTTTCACAGCATTATCTTTCAGGATTTGAAATAGCTCAACTGGAATTCCATCACCTCCACTAGCTTTGTTTGTAGTGATGCTCCTCAGGCCCACCTGACTTCACATTCCAGGATGTCTGGCTCTAGGTGATTGATCACACCATTGTGATTATCTGGGTCATGAAGATCTTTTTTGTACAATTCTTCTGTGTATTCTTGCCACATCTTCTTAATATCTTCTGCTTCTGTTAGGTCCCTACCATTTCTGTCCTTTATTGAGCTCATCTTTGCATGAAATATTCCCTTGTTATCTCTAATTTTCTTCCCATTCTATTTTTTCCCTTTATTTCTTTGCATTGTTTGCTGAGGAAGGCTGACAGAATGTGGTCCACTGGAGAAGGGAATGACAAGCCACTTCAGTATTCTTGCCTTGAGAACCCCATGAACAGTATGAAAAGGCAAAAAGATAGGGCACTGAAAGATGAACTCCCTAGGTCAGTAGGTGCCCAATATGCTACTGGAGATCCATGGAGAAATAACTCCAGATAGAATGAAGGGATGGAGCCAAAGCTAAACCAACACCCAGTTGTGGATGGGACTGGTGATAGAAGCAAGGTTCGATGCTGTAAAGAGCAGTATTGCACAGGAACCTGGAATGTTAGGTCCATGAGTCAAGGCAAATTGGAAGTGGTCAAACGGGAGATGGCAAGAGTGAATGTCGACATTCTAGGAATCAGTGAACTAAAATAGACTGGAATGGGTGGATTTAACTCAAATGACCATTATATCTACTACTATGGGCAGGAATCCCTTAGAAGAAATGGAGTAGCCATCATAGTCAACAAAAGAGTCTGAAATGCAGTACCTGGATACAGTCTCAAAAACGACAGAATGATCTCTGTTCGTTTCCAAGGCAAACCATTCAATATCACGGTAATCCAAGTCTATGCCCCAACCAGTAACGCTGAAGAAGCTGAAGTTGAACGGTTCTGTGAAGGCCTACAAGACCTTCCAGAACTAACACCCCAAAAGATGTCCTTTTCATTATAGGGGACTGGAATGCAAAAGTAGGAAGTCAAGAAACACCTGGAGTAACAGGCGAATTTGGCCTTTGAGTACAGAATGAAGAGGGCAAAGGCTAATAGAGTTTTGCCAAGAGAACACACTGGTCATAGCAAACACCCTCTTCCAACAACACAGGAGAAGACTCTACACATGGACATCACCAGATCGTCAACACCAAAATCAGACTGATTATATTCTTTGCAGCCAAAGATGAAGAAGCTCTATACAGTCAGCAAAAACAAGACCGGGAGCTGACTGTGGCTCAGATCATGAACTCCATATTGCCAAATTCAGACTGAAATTGAAGAAAGTGGAGAAAACCACTAGACCATTCAGGTATAACCTAGATCAAATCCCTTATGACTATACAGTGGAAGTGAGAAATAAAGTTAAGGGACTAGATCTGATAGAGTGCCTGATGAACTATGGATGGAGGTTCGTGACATTGTACAGGAGACAGCAATGAAGACCATCCCCAAGAAAAAGAAATGCAAGAAAGTAAAATGGCTGTCTGAGGAGGCCTTACAAATAGCTGTGAAAAGAAGAGAAGTGAAAAGCAAAGGAGAAAAGGAAAGACACACCCATTTGAATGCAGAGTTCCAAAGAATAGCAAGGAGAGATAAGAAAGCCTTCCTCAGTGATCAATGCAAAGAAATAGAGGAAAACAATAGAATGGAAAAGTTTCTAAAGTAGATTACAGGTATCATGTCATTCTACACTAAATAGTAATTTCTTAATACTGGCTGTAACTCCGTCTATTCAGATGTCTTTAGTTGTCCTAAAAATGTCTTTTATAACCTGTTTTACAAAGTAGGATCTTTTTTGTAACTGGGCATTGCATCTAGTTCAGTGTTCCTTGTCTTTCAATCTAGAATATTTCCTTTTTTTTTTCCCCCATGACTATGACTTGCTGGAAAGGTTAGGCTTTCTTTTCCAGTAGAATTCCTTGTCATAGATTACAACATAGGTGATGTGTATACTTCATGTTGCAGTGAGAGAAATACAATATTGTTACCCAGCCATTGCCAATGCTAAAATCTTCTTTGTGAAGATAAAGCAGACGTGTTAGATTAGGGAGATGACAATGTGATCCCTTCATTGTCATGTTACATTTCCTTTCTTGTTCCCAGTCTATTAATACTTCATTGCTTTGTATAAAAAATCTTTTTCTTACTTTAACCCTATAAAATCTAGGCCCCATCAACCATTCATTTAATAGTTTTGTAGCTGAATTTGTAATTTTATTGGGAATTGCAAAATGATGATTTTCTAGTTCTTTCATCCCATATCCATTTATTAACTTGCATTCTTATGTGAAATACAGGTTTTCTTCATCAGTGGAGCTATTTAGTTAGTTTTATAAGAGATGCTTAAATTTTTGCTTTTAATTTCCACATTTGGTTGATTTATTAGCTACCTGAAGTGGGGACAGATAAATGTTTTGGGGGATATCATTATAAGCTCATGGATTTTTAAAAACATAATGGGTGAGGGTGGGATGTTTCGAGAGAACAGCATCGAAACATGTATATTATCTAGGGTGAAACAGATCACCAGCCCAGGTTGGGTGCATGAGACAAGTGCTCGGGTCTGGTGCACTGGGAAGACCCAGAGGGATCGGGTAGAGAGGGAGGTGGGAGGGGGGACCGGGATGGAGAATACATGTAAATCCATGGCTGATTCATGTCAATGTATGACAAAAACCACTACAATATTATAAAGTAATTAGCCTCCAACTAATAAAAATAAATGAAAAAAAAAACCATAATGGGTCCCAATTAATTTGTGGTAGTTACTCTTTTTTCACATTCAAATTATCACACCTTTGTCCAATAAGGGCTCAGGTGATGCCTTTAAAAATTTCTCTAGTCTTTAGCGGAGTTGTGACAGGGAACAAATTTAGATATGTATCCAGATCATATTGATGAAGAAGCTCGTGGATGGCTGAAATACCTGTGTTAGCAGAATCGTACACCAGAGATAGTAGGGATTATAGGAAAAATAGAGATGGGGCCAACCTAAAACCTACCTAAGTTTGTAACTTGAATAATTTTAGGAACTTTAAAATCTCAATAAAAATATTAGCACAGTTGAATTCCTAGTAAATAAACACTATAGTATAGAGGACATATAGGACTTACCTTTAAAAATTGATGAAGATAGCTTAAAGGATGGGTACAAAAGGTTTGAGGCTTTGGTGACATGTGCAGAACACATAAATATCAGAGAGGATGGTGTAGTAAACACTTTCAAGTCATAGCATATGGCCAAAATGAGCCAAGAAGAATGAAGGATGGGTGTCATTTTCAGTCCCGTATTCCTTGAAGTGTCCAGCCCAGGTTCTCCTGTGTTACTGTACTTTACTATCAGCTTCTCTTAAGTTGGTGCCAAAGCATTAGCTAATAAAGGAGTACTGAGTGAACAAGCATCATCTGTGCATTGACATCCTTTTTCTGTATGATAATTGCTTACGAGCTAATTCACATTATCAAATACACTTTGATAACAGGTTTTATTTCTTTTTTTAAAATTTTAAACTAATCTATAACTTACAGAGAAGTTCCAAGTAATACAAATAATTTTTCCCGTGAACTATTTCAGAGTAAGCAGCTAACATATTCTACATCACCATTATTAATTTAGTGAGTTCTTCGCACAACTAGGACATTTCTCCTGTGTAATCATAATCAAGAAATGAGCATTGGTACATTACTACCATTTAATTCTCAAATGTCAAGTTTCAATAGTTGTCCCAGTAATGTTCTTTACAGCATAAAGATCCAGTCTAGAAGCACAGGTTTCTTTTAGTTGTCGTGATTCTTCAGTTTCCTTCAGTGTTAGTAATAGTCCCTCAATTTTACTTTGACCTTCTTGACCTCGGTTGTATTGAAGATTGCAAAGTTTTGTAGAATATCCCCCATTGTTGATATGTTTACTTACAAAGTTATTCTTGTTGGTAGGAATATTATATAAATGATCCTGTGTTCTTCTCACTGCATCCTCTCAGGTGGCCTGAGATTTTGATTTGTTCCATTTTTGGTTATGTTAACTTTGATCACTTGATTAAGGTAGTGCCTGCTAGACATCTCTACTGAAATACTGTCTTTGTAATAGTATTTTGTATGTATGGGGAGTATGTACTTTGAGACTATGTAAATATGCTTTCCTATTCAAACTTTAAAGTTTAAATTTAATTATATGAGGATACAGCCCTGTTTTAGTCAATGTATTATGATCCATTACTATCATTATTTGTTTTGTTGCTCAGATTGACTCATTTTTCTAGTGGAGCCCTGGATTCTGCATCCTTTTGGCATTTCCCCAACAATCTTGAAGTTCTTCACTACCTTCTAGCATGATGAGATGTTCTGAGTTCATCTTCTTGTACTTTCTCTGCACTAGCCTTGAAATCAGCAGTTTCTCCAAAGTACACTAGTTCTTTTGCATAGAGAATAGTTTTCAGAAAGCAAGATAAGGGAATATACATGTGTATATACACATTTACATCTGTACTACTTTGTACATCTATTTATATTAAAACCATTAGGGCGCCTGTTGTCATCTCCAGTCCTAATGTAATACAACAGGGTTTGTTCTTTCTCCCTTTTCATATAAATAACTCCTTTGTCTGAAGTAAGAAATCTGACTTCCGTTTATTTTTAGCAGGTTTGCTTATATGCTCAGTCCCCCTGTATGTGACCAGTATGCTTTCTCCGCTGCCGTTTCCCACCTGCCAGACTTAACACCTCACACTGGGCGGCCCTACCGCTTGGTGGTTCCTCTCTGTCTTCAGGCTCTCGTTTCCTCTGTTGGACTGTCTCCCTACGCAGAAACCCTCTTCTCCTGCTTGGGAACCAACAGCCTCCCTGGGGTCACTCTCATCTGAGGGTATGCTCCTCACCCAGCTCAGTCCTCTCTGTAATACCATATCCCCATGCTTTCTTTGCTTAGCCACGCTTAACGGCTGTTGAATTGAGTTTTCAAGAAGGGCAAGATTATATTTGTGTGAATTCTGTTCTAGAATACTGGCTTATTAAAGTTGAAATGTTTTTAAACCAAAAGACTTTTTAGGCTGTATGTTTATTTGCATAGGATCCCCAAACTCTGTTTTTGTACTTGGTCATTATTGGTAAAGTCTTTGCTGTGCACTTAAAAAATTAGTTTTTTACTTATCTGCCACCTTTTGCTTTTCTCCTGGTTTCTCATGAGCTTTTAGACATTGTGTGTTATATTGTTGATTCACTCTGTAATTATAATTATGCAGTTGATCTGTTCTTTAGTAAAAGGCCATACCATTTTCAGTAATTCACTGCATTAATTGAAACAACTTGCTTGCAGTTCATTGAATACCTTGGAAAAACTTGGTATAAAATAGTATTTATTTTATTCTTGAGTCTTAATAGTTTCATGCGTACTCTCTCTGTCTCTCATCCTGCATGCTAAATTCCTGTTCCTCTTTCTCTTTGCCTTTTTATCTTGTACATACAACCATTGTGTTGAGTTATTTTTTGTTATTAATGTATTTCTCCGTATAAGACTAAAGGCAGATCCTGTATATTTTCATTCTTGAACCCCCAGTGTTTAGAACAGTGTCCTTCTTAGGCCCATAATAGGCCTTCAGATTGTTGATTGGAAGCTTTTGTTTGGAGCATGTAGTGTGCAATGTAGTATTACAGTCCTTTTTTGTTTTTCTAAATCTTAATTCTTTTAGAAGCTGGATAAGAAATCGTCTCCATCCACAGGGAGCCTGGATTCTGGAAATGAGTCGAAAGATAAGCTGTTAAAAGGAGAAAGTGCATTGCAGCGAGTCCAGTGTATACCGGGGAACGCCAGCTGTTGTGACTGCGGTCTGGCAGACCCACGGTGGGCCAGCATCAACCTGGGCATCACCTTGTGCATCGAGTGTTCTGGGATCCATCGGTGAGTATGCCCACCTGGGTGAGAGACTTCTAGTTCAACACACGTAAGTTCTTGTGTCCGAATGGCTTGAGGACTTTCCCTCCTGCCTAATTTGGCTGCCAGTTTGTGTCTTTGTACCTTTTATGAACTGGATAAAATTCTGGTTTGTGAAGTGATTTTGAGGACTTTTGATTCACCATTAACGAGAAGATCTATCCCTATTTATATATGTGTTGAGGGCTATGTTAGAGACTATGTCACATTAAGATAGAATAATAACTTGCATAATGTGCAAATAGAGACTTGAAAGTTTTATATATATTGATGCAGTCTTTTCTTTTTCCGACTTAGGAGTCTTGGAGTTCATTTCTCAAAAGTGCGATCTTTAACTTTAGATACCTGGGAGCCTGAACTTTTAAAGGTAAAATAAATATTTGCTTTAAAGTATTTTATGTTTTCACATAAAAGGCAAAATTTTTAAAATTTATTTATTCTTTTGCCACTTGGCTATGCAGGATCTTAGTTCCCCAACGAGGAATCAAACCTGTACCCTCTGCAGTGAAAGGGCAGAGTCCTAACCACTGGGCCACCAAGGAGTCCCCAAAAGTCAATATTTTAGAATCTGGGTTTGCAAATGTATGAGTTTCTCAATGCTAACAGTGAATTAAATTGTATTGGAATATATCTGATGTTATTTTGGCAAATCTGTTGTTTTCTTACTGTTTTTTTTTTTAAGTTCTAAGCTTAAGTAGCACTCTTAATTGTATGTCAGTTCACTTTCAAGGAAACTAGCACCCATGCATTTTTATGTTTTCTCAAAAATTAGATTCTGTGCCTTAATTTTAATATTTTGTAATTATATAAATTTTTATTAAGAATATGAGATATTGTCATAGTGAGTTGCATAACAGATTGGTATATCATGTTATTATTGCATTATTTTAGCATAGGCACATTTGAAAATTTACGTTTGTCAGGGATAGTAGTCATCAAACTAAGACATCCTTTTTCCCTGTGTAAGGATTTGTATCTATGAAAGTGTCATAAATAATTTTAGATCACAACTGGGTTTTTAATAAGTGAAAGTAAAAGTCACGCAGTCGTGTCCAACTCTTTGCAATTGCATGGACTCTATAGTCCATGGAATTCTCCAGACCAGAATACTGGAGTGGGTAGCCTTACCCTTTTCCAGGGGATCTTCCCAACCCAGGAATAGAACCCAGGTCTCTCGCATTGCAGGCAGATTCTTTACCAGCTGAGCCACCAGGGAAGCCCAAGAATACTGGAGTGGGTAGCGTATCCCTTCTCCAGATCTTCCCAACCCAGGAATCGAACTGGGGCCTCCTGCATTACAGGCGGATTCTTTACCATCTGAGCTACCAGGAAGCCCAGGACTTTCAAAATTTATACTGAATGATAGTGTACCCATTTTAATTCCCACTGTTCAGTTTACCTGTTGTAAAAAATGTTAGCTTAAAGGTTGTAGTGTATTCTACATTTATTTCTGTCTGAAAATTGTATTTCTTAATGCATTTGTGTTTTTATTTTAATCCATAGATAAACTCACAATCCTTTTAATTATGTAAAGTAAAAAAGTTTTCTTTGTGGAATTATTGTGTAAACCTCTAAATGGAAGTGATAAGTTGGCTCATATGATAGAGCCCTATTTCTATAGATTCTATAAATTGATATGAATTCAAAGGAGAAGTAAGTGGGGAGTGGGAGCTAGAAATCTAATTTCTGCATCAACTTTGGGTAGATATGACCTCAGTGGATTCATTTTAGAAATTTTGGTTGAAACACATCTGTCTGATACTTTTTAAAAAATATTGAAGCAATATTTAGAAATGTAAATAAAATCTAAGGAGAAAATATGTGTGTGTTAGTCATTCAGTTATGTCCGAATCTTTGCAACCCCATGGACTATATGTAGCCTGCCAGGCTTCTCTCTCCATGGTATTCTCCACGCAAGAGTACTGGAGTGGGTTGCCATTTCCTTCTCCAGGAGATCTTTCCTACCCAGGAATTGAACCTGGGTCGCCTGCATTTCAGGCAGATTCTTTACTCTCTGAGCCACCAGGGAAGCCCAGGGAGAAAATAGTTTGCTTCAGTTCTGAGTTGTTTAAAGCTTAACCTATCTGGACTTAGGCTTCTTTTTTTCGGTTAACTTAGCTGATGTTGTGAGTATATAGCCTTGTGCTAACCACAGTGGAGGGATAGAACTCTGGCAGAGGTTGTGTGAGGAGAAACCCTGCCTTAAAGAGTTGTAATCTTCTAGGGGAGGTGAAAAATGGAAAAATGCTGATAAGACTCTCAGTCCTCGTTTCATTTTAACTTTCAGTATCATTGTGATATATGCATTTTCAGAAGTTGCAAAGAATTAGGTATTTGCTTAAGGATTAATATAGTATTTTTTAGGAAATTATAGCTTATTTTCTGTCTTTCTGCCAAACAGCTTATGTGTGAGTTGGGGAATGATGTTATAAATAGAGTTTATGAAGCCAACTTGGAAAAAATGGGAATAAAGAAACCACATCCAGGACAAAGGTACTATTTCAGTTGTGTTAAAATGTTACTTCATTCCCTCGCATCTTGAATATAGCTATTATTTTATTTCCCTTTAATTGATATGTAATATTGAAACAGAGTAGTTCAGAGAGATCATTACTGCTTCGGTTAAAATGTGGCTGTTTCTATCTTGGATTTGTTAATTAGATTGTATTTTATAGTTAGATAATAAATTATAATCTTTAGATGAGAGAGAAGCTTAAAAATTAAGGCTCTGCAAAGGAATATAAAACCTCTTACTTGCAAGTAAAGTAGACAAAGTTCTATTAGTTGTAGGCCTTTAAAGAGAGATAATCTGTTCATTAATGTCTCCAAGGGTCAAGTTTTTATACCTACAATGAATAATTTTTGCATTTTTGACTTTGTTTAGCAAATACTTGTTAATTACATATTTCCTACATTGCATTTTTATATTGAAGGATTACAGTCGAAAAGGGTGACTTCTGGTAAGGGAGAGTACTTACTTAATTGCTGTGTTTTAAGTTTTACTTCCAGTCCTGTTCATGGAGACTTATTGAATGAAGTGGCAAAGAGTGCCTTCAATGTGGATAATTAGTTTTGTTGTTCATATTATTTTTACTCTTTCTATTTCTTTATATTAGATATTAAAACTTTGCCATAATCCTATATTTGACTATATCTTTATGATAATTAATATTTTTTAAAGTTACTGCTCTCTAAACCAATACCATTTAAATCGATTCTTATTTTTGTGCAAAACCATAGTGTTTGAGTTATCTCAGCCCTTGAGATATCCTATTTTAGCCAAAGACTTAGGCATTTTAGAAAGATGTGGGTAGGAAAAGGTATAGAAGAAACTTGACAAGTTTTATAGTTGTATCACAAATCAAAAATTTTAAGTGTGATACCTTTTTTGGTCCTCTTTAAGTTAAAAATGCTGTGTTGTGTTAAAGTAGTTGTCTTATGAAAACTTATGGTCATGACTAGTGATAATTCAGTGTGTGACATTATTTATTGGAGTAAAAATAGAATTGAAGTTAATTTCTATAAATTTTAATGGTGTTTTGGTATTGTTTTTCATTCTTTAAAAAGCAACAGGGAATATGTTTAGAAATGAATGAGCATAGAAATGAAGAGAATAAGAATGCTATGTTAATACTTGTGACTTTTCAGTTGGTTGATTATTTATATTCATTTAAACATGAAATCATAGTTCATTAAATATTTGGAAGGAAAACATGTTGCAGAATGTTGCTAATACATGAAACATTTTAACTAGTATTATGTTTAGTGACTTTGAAAAATTCAGTATGTAATGACTTCTTTTCACTATTGGCCATGCTAAGAGATTAAGCAGAACATCATGACATTTTTATATATACCAACCAGACAGGAGAAAGAGGCGTATATCAGAGCAAAATATGTGGAGAGGAAATTTGTGGATAAATACTCTATGTCATCATCACCTCCTGAGCAGGAAAAAAAGATTGTCTCCAAAAGTTGTGAAGAAAAGAGGCTGAGCATTTCTAAACTTGGGCCAAGTGAACAAATTAGAGCATCTCCTCAGAGTTCAGGTATTACAGTTTATTTGTTGTTTGTATAAGTTGCTTTCTTAATTTCTGAATTAGTAGCTGTTGTAGATTTTTTAAGTGCTGAAAACACATCTTCTATATACACTAAGGAAAAACTGGATTTCTCTGTCTTTAAAATAGTTAAATATAAACAGTGTCCTGGTAATTCACATTCCTACATACAGTTGACCCTTGAAAAACTCAGGGGTTGGGGTACCAACTCTCCACTCAGTTGAAAATTTACATGTAGTTTTTAGTTGGCCCTTCACGTATGTGCTGCCTCCATATCGTCTCTGCAGTTCCTCTGTATCACTGGTTCCACATCCATGAGTTCCACCAATCCCAGATCATGTGGTACTGTAGTATTTTGTAATGAAAAAAAAATTTGTGAATAGGTGGACCACGTAATTTAAACCTGTGTTGTTTAAGGGTCGACTGTAATGTGTCTATTCTAGGGAATAAAACTGCTTAAAATGCAAGGGGAGATGGGAATTACAGATCTATCATGCAAAAAGCCCTAAATATCTGATTAACCACCTAATATCCTTCCTGTTTTTTCCTCCTAAATTTTTCCCAATAACGTTTTTTCCTGCCCTCTTCCCTTCTTATGGCCTGCTTTGTGCTTTGCTAACTTGCATGTCCCCAGTGGTTGCTGTAAATAGCGACGAGGCCAGGCGGGAGTCTCTCTTCTGTCCTGATGAGCTAGATTCACTCTTCTCCTACTTTGATACTTCTTCAAAACTACGTAGTAGTAAGTACTACTCTTGTGGAGCATTCCAAGTCTGTGCCAGTGGTCATTGTGTGGTGTGGCCATTTCTCTAGATGTTACCCATTGTCTCAGAATTGCACATTGCTTACCATCATATGATAAATTAACTCTTTACTGTCCCTGACACATTCTGGGGTAATGAGAATGAGATATGTTACGACTCTGAAAATAAGTTTATTTCTAGGCTTCATGGTTGATTCATATTTTGATAAGTGAAGTGTACCAAAGAATTAAAATTGTGAAAAGTTTATTCTCGTGGTGGCTGAATTCATGTTGATGTTTCATAGCTCATTTTAAAATCTCGTTGTTTGTGGGACTTTTTTCTTAATGGTTCAAAACTTTAATCTCTAGTTGGTTTTTCTTTAAAACAGTCAAAAGTAATGACAGTGGAATCCAGCAGAGCTCTGATGATGGAAGAGAATCTTTACCCTCCACAGTGTCAGCCAATAGTTTGTATGAACCTGGTGAGTTTCGTGAAATTCAGTGTTATTTTGTATTGTTTGCTGAAAAATGCATGTGAAATGTGAAATGCCAAGTCTGATTGAATAGTTTCTAAAGGAAGTTGTTAATTTTTTAGAAGGTACTAAGGGGCAGTTAATACTGCTGAATGAGAGAGCAGCTATTTCTTTTCATATTTGGAAGTTCTTTCCTAGCTGTGTATTTTTCTAAGCCTCATGACATATGTTGCAAGTAACTTGTCAAAACTAATTTTTAATGCATGTGAACTGTATGTCTTATTACCTCTTATCTTTTGGGGGACTGTCTTTTTTCATATATAATTTTATACATTTATTTTTGGCTGCACTGGGTCTTCATTGCTTTCTTTGCGCGGGCTTTCTTCTAGTTGCGGTGAGTAGGACCTGCTGTCTAGTTGAGGTGCGCAGGCTTCTCAGTGCAGTGGCTTCTCTTGTTGCAGAGCACAGGCTCTATCTAGCCGCTTGGGCTTTCGTAGTTCCAGCTTGTGGGCTCCAGAGCACAGGCTCAGTAGTTGGGGCACATGGGTTTGTGTGCTTCTTGGCATGTGGAATCTTCCCAGACCAGGAGTCGTACCCCTGACCCCTGTGTTGGCAGGTGGTTCCTACCCTCCTTGTAAGAGGAAAGTCCCTGACTGTCTTTTCTTGTCAGGAGAAAGAGATCAGCAAATCCACCCTCCATCCCACAACCCCCACCGCCCCACCACCCAATTAGGTTTTTCTTCTAACTTGTACTTTCCTCCTATATTCTCTCCTTTATGATTTCAGCGGTTTTGATTTTGCAGAACACTCGATAGAAAGTGTCTTTATGTTATTTGAACTGCTTGTACTGCAAATTGTGATGGTATTGGGCCATCCCAGGAATAAAGTGAGGTTTGGTCTAGTAGTGAAATTCTTTTGGGGTTGTTACTGCATCTTCTGAGTCCCTAAGTCCAGACTTACAGTCAGATACCTAATTTTAGTCTTAATACAGAGTAATCTACCTACATGTCAGATACTGGCAAGATCACAGAGACCTGATGTACTAGTCAATGTATTTAAAAGAGAAGAAGGCTGTGGGGAGTGGTTAGTCTATAGGAAATAAGGTACCTTTGTGAAAATCTTACATCACAACTTCATACTGTGATACAAGTAAGAGTTTGAGTTTTTAAAAAGCTGTGGTTAAGTTACACATAACATAAAAATTTACCGGCTTAACCATTTTCAGGTGTACACTCAGTGGCATTAAGTCGTTCACACTTTTGTGCTGCATCGCCCCCATCTGTCCCCAGAGTTCTTACCTTACAAAGAATAAGAAGCACTGACTTCCCATTCTCTCCCTCCTTGCCAAGGGCTCATTTTTATTTATTTGTGTTTGTTTTTCAGAGGCAGAAAGGCAAGATTCTTCTGTGTTTCTTGACTCTAAACATCTTAATCCAGGACTCCAGCTTTATAGGGCTTCATATGAAAAAAATCTTCCTAAAATGGCTGAGGCTTTGGCTCACGGCGCAGATGTGAACTGGTCTAATTCCGAGGAAAACAAAGCAACACCACTTATTCAGGCTGTGTTAGGGGTATGAATTTGTAAATTCAGGTTTTTAGTGGTAATAGAACATAAAAAAATCATAATTCATTTTGAGCATCACTTTACATTATTGTTTGCTTTAAGAGGTGGGTTGGAAAATAGAAGCAGCAGCTAGTAGTGATTTCTGAATATCGTTTTGTGTAAGTTCAGTTTTTTTTCTTCATGGAAGGGAATTCTAGTAATGAAAGTAGTGGGTTTTGCTAGATTGCAAACTGCAAATAGAATCCCAGTTAGAGTAGTTCTTGGGAAGAAAATAATATAATTTATTATTTCTCTGCTTTTGCTGGGGGGCATTTTCTCTTTTTGGCTATTAGAGTAAAGTAAATACTCTGTTTTTAATAGAAATATATTGTCATTCACTTTTTGCTCATTGTTGTCTTCTTTCTTCCTTCTCAGGGCTCTTTGGTTACATGCGAGTTTCTCCTACAGAATGGTGCTAATGTGAACCAAAGAGATGTGCAGGGCCGGGGACCACTGCACCATGCCACCGTCTTGGGGCACACAGGGTAAACTGTTGTGCTTATATATTTAAGTGGATTTTATTTGAAAAATTATTTTGAAATAATCTTTTGCTCTTCAGTGAAGATTGTTAGGTACAGTTTGTAAGGTGATACTTTCTGTGACTTACATTGTCACAGTAGAACCTGAAATTTAAAAAAGTTTCAGGAAAAAATACTATTACTGTTCAATAAGTAACAGTAACACTGCTGTTTGTCATTAAGAAAATTGACAGACTTACTTTGAACTTTACTAATTATTTACATAGATCTCTTAGAATTTAAAACCGTCACTGAAATTTTGGCAGTTTTAAAAGACAATTTAATGTGTTTGTATGTATTTATAATATAAATACATACAGTATTTCTGTATTTATACATTATGTACATAGCACACACATTTGGGGTAAATTTTTTTGTAACTTTGTAAATTTTAGTTTTCCTACAAAGTAGTTAATTCTTATTTTGTGCTATTGATGTTGTGATTTCTGGACCAGTGTTTAGATCCACAGAACAGTAAAGCTATACAATGGGCTTTCTACTAGAGGGTACAAATAAACTCAAAATTTGGCCTTATATATTTGCATCAAAGGCCTTTTTTTTTTTTTTTTTATAAAATACCTCAGGATCTGCAATCTTTATTACCTGGACAGGCAAGAAGCTGTCCTTTTCTAATGTTTATTTATAATTAATCTTCTATTTTCATCCTAGCTTGTTTTCTTTCCCTCTATTAGCAAGAAGATTCAGTTCAATAACTTTATCATAAAAACTCTTCTTTATAAAAGCTTATATTTAACTCATCCTTTTATTTTCTTTTTAATCATGATTATTCCCATTTTACTTCATAGACTCCATTTATCATTTTTTCATTTTTGTCAGTTTCTTGAAGTTATGAATATTTGTGAGGAATACAGCAGCAAGATTACTTCCCATTTGTTGCTATTGTATTAGCATTAATACTTTATGATGTTAACATTGCCTTGGCTTCCTTCTTTTCCTCGATAATGACCTTGAGTGCTTTTTATTTAAGTTTCTAGGTATCTGTGTACACCTTTTTATAATATTCTTTGAGGGTAGGGGCCATAATTTATACATCCCACTATACTATGTATTACCAGATTAAATGTGAAAATACCTTGAGATTTATAAAATGTTGCTCATGTAGATTTTTATTATTAGAGTCAATAGTCAATAAAATAAATCTTTGTAGAAAGAATCAAGAATTTCCTAATGAAGATGTTATATCTTTAAATAATGCTTTTTATTTTTTAAGGTGAATACTAATTTTATTTTTTATTGGCAATATCAGGCAGGTATGTTTATTTCTAAAAAGAGGTGCCAATCAACATGCCACTGATGAAGAAGGGAAGGACCCTTTGAGTATAGCTGTGGAAGCAGCCAATGCTGATATAGTGACCTTGTAAGTGTTTTCACATGATTATTTCCCATACATTTTATTACTTATACAGGGTTTTAACTTAAGAGTTTCCTGTGTAGGTGTGAAATTTAAACTTGGTTATTTACTAGAAGCCATTTACTTTTCTAAGCACATTAAATGTATGAAGCATGTTACATACATGAAATTACTTGGTTCCCACCTCAACCCTGTGAGGAAGGTTTTATTATTACCAGCCTCATTTTATAAGCAGGCCAAGCTACAGATAATTTGAGAAACTAGTAAATGGTGGAGCTGAAATTTGAAACCAAGAATTCTGTCTCTAAACCTGTGTACTTAGCCACTTTTGTTTTACTTCCTGGCCAGTAGGAATAGAATAACTGACCTTTCTGAACTGGATTCTTTAACTCTCAGTACAGTACTGGGGTGAGAGTTGGATGGGTTAGTAACAGGCAATTTTACTAACTACCTCAAGAATTAGAGGATTATAAGCAGGGAATGCAAGTGCATTGATGTTAGTGACTTGCAGTTGCATTGCCTTTGTGCACTGATACTTAGGAGACCTGTTTGTGATTATTTTTTAAAAAGAATTTTTCACAAGAGTACTCTATTTTGAGGTAAAAAGATTTGTTTTGGAGTGTTTGAATATAAATTAATATGACCTGTTAAAGAACCTTGAGGTCTTTGATTTTCATCTTAGATCAAAGTTGTTTATTACACTGGAAATCTAGGAATGTGGTTGTCACCTATCCTTTACCGTTATGTAGGAAGTCTCAAACAGGTTGTATGAATCACTTTTTCTTTCTATTCTGAATGAAGCCCATGATTGTTGGTTCTCTGTTAACTAAATAAAGATAGTTCCATCTACACTACTGAATTTCAGTCAGTTACAAAGAGGGGGGACTCCCTTGACTATCTTGAACTCCAGAGTTCCCACTGAGAATTCTTGCCATATATCACCCCTCCCTGACCCCTGCCAGACTAAAACAAAACAAAAAACCAAAAGAGAAAACTGTATTTTCTCTGTACCTAGCTTCATTTCCTCACTGGAGGGTTTATTGTTATTGTGGAGACTATTGTAGGAAAATTTAGATCTATTAAATCATTGTAGACTTAACATTGGAGAAAGCTAAGTTATTAAAGAAAAGATAGGAGTGATATAGAGAAATTACATTAACCCTGGCTGCAGCTTCCCAGGCAATTCTTATAGTAGTGGCCCTTCTTTCCCCAAAATATGTTCCCAAATTCTCTAAATTTTCTCATTTTGTTATACTTGAGGCTGTCAGTTTCACTTAAAATTTATTGAAATAGGCAGCCTCTCTGAAAGGTTCAAATACCAAAAAGGGAGACTTACTTATCTTGCTGTTACAAGTTCACACAATGGTTGAGAAAGGAAATGGCAGCAAATTGTGGTACTTTGAAGATAAAAAACAGCCTCTCTCAGATGCTGCGGTTGCCAAAGAGAGCATATTAGAAGGTGATGGAAGTCTGAAAGGCCAATGAGTATTTGGTGACCTGAAGGACAGGCAAAAGAGTAGGAGAGGGGCATCACAGATAACATTTGTGTTTCAAAATGTTGCTTGAAATTAGTTAGAAAATGAGAGGAAATTTACTAATTTTCTTAATCCAGTGCTATAGGTCTTCCTGCTGCCATGTAAATAACCCAAAAAGAATGTATAATCAATATGGTAGCTGTGGGAAAATCTTAGTAGCCCATGGTCATTTATTATAATGTCTGTATGTCAGAATATATCCCCAGTATTTATAGATAACACATGCTATTTATACATTTGGAACTACCATACCTCAGGATGAACCAGATTGAATTTATGACAGGCTATTGCTTCCATTTTATAGAAGCAATAGTTTTGAAGGTTGCCAGTTAAAGTCTGACAGGTTGCGTTAGAAGTCAGGAATTCTGTGTGTCTGGAGGAAGCAAGCTGCTGGTGGTGCTGCAAGGAACCTGCTTAAAACTGAAACTCACTTTTTAGAAATCTTTTATTGTCTTCTGTCATGAGAATTGTTTACTTTGTATTTCAGATTGTTGGGTCTAACAAACTAAAAGTCCTTTTGTTTCAGGCCAAATAACTGGTAAAAGAAAAAATTACATGAGTATGTGTCTTAGTTGTATATAATTCAGTAGTTTATGAATATTTATATTGTATAACTTACCTAAAACATTCTTTAATTTTAGGTTACGTTTAGCAAGAATGAATGAAGAGATGCGGGAATCAGAAGGACTTTATGGACAGCCAGGTCAATATTCTACTAATAACCATACTGAAATGCAATATAAGAAATGCATCCAGGAATTTATCAGTTTACAATTGGAAGAGTCATAGTTCTTTAGCAAACTAACAATACTATATAGAGTTTTTATAAATTTCTTGTAAATTGTGAGTTGTTAGCTATGTACTGTACTTACTGAATTCTTGGGAGTGGCTCGCTCTTGAGCCTTTAAAACTCCATAACTATTCCTATTACAGTACACATTTACTTGCTGTATTTAACTCTGGCTACTGACTTCTTTATCTGCTGTACAGATGTCTTCCATATACATTCCAGTGAGGTGAATGGAATGATAATGTATCTTTATACACTTAAAGCAGCACAACAGTCATTTTCTTTTTGGCTGTCAAGTGAATATAACAGAGTTGTTTTCTTTTTGTTATTCAGGGAATTTCTATAAATTGTGTTCAGGGAAAAAAAAAGACAAATCACTATGTGTTGACATATAAAAAGTCACTAGGGAAAATACCTAGACAATGTTTATTGAATTAAGAGTTCTGTATTTGACCTAAAAATGAGTTAAAGGTTTAAAAGTAAAGTTTACCAGTAGGTTAAAAAGTCCATAATGGGAATAGAGTTAGTTTAAAAGGTAGTGGGAAAAGGTCCAATTTTATCTTGTAGCTTTGCCCTAAGTAATTGTACAATATTTGTTGGATAAATGGAAGTATTCCAAGCAGTATTTTGTGAACTCGATGGCAAAGTAGATGTATTCTTCTTAAGAGAAATCTCAACTCAGGATCAGTTCAAGTCTCATTTTGCGTAATTTTTATCTTTGAGTCGAGATGTAAGAAAATTAAGAAATGCTGCTGATCAGATTTCTTTCTTTGATGAACACATCCTGATTAGACATTCTTCACAAAGAAGAGAGTAATAATTGGATCTTCAGTTTCATGAATTTGAGTATATGAATTACTAATTTATCTGTTTTAAATTCATATACATGCTGGTTAAAAATTTTAGGAATCCATGACTAAAATAATTGAGACTGTTCAGTTCTCAGTGAGTATGTTTAATTATTTTCAATCAGTATTAATATTTTAAAAGTGGTTTGTAATATCATCTATCTTTCCTGTTTAAGTGTGTTTTGAAATTTCTGTACTTTATGCTAGCTTTAGCCAGCATTTTTACTTTTATTTTTATTTTACTTTACTTTTATTTTAACCCAATTTATATATATATATAACCAAGATATATGGGACCATTCCTTTCTAAGAGGACTGTATTTATTACTTTTGGGGGGTCTAATTTAATAGGGAACAAGTACGAACTTTGAGAATAGAGGCACTTTAGCTAGATACTTCTAATCTAGAGTGTCCCACTTTAATCCTATGGATCAAACAATATGACTGATTCATGAAGTACCAAGATGTAAGAGTGCTGATAAAGGGTGAAGTCTCAGCATTAATTCTGAATTTCACCCATTTGTTTTAAACTTGAATGTTAGACTTTAAAAATGTTATAATTTTGTAACAGATGTACCTAAGTGATAGTATTACTAGGCCATTTTTGAGGCCTTTGTGTTTAAGCACTTTAAAATAAAAGTTATTCAAAGAATATAACCTGATAGGCAAGATAAGAGTGAATTTCAGGATTTTAGGTGAAACAGTTTTTTTTCCCTTGACATTTTCAATGTAAATGTCTGGTCAGCTTCTCTTTCCTTAGGGTGTTTACTAATGAAACTGCACCCAGCTTCAGAAGGTCAGTGGGTGACTTTTCTCTGGAACTGGGATGCTTTGAAAGGACAGGTCCTCTTATGTTCTTGCAGCTTCTAATTCCATCTAAACTGTAGGTCTTCTGCCCCTATCTGGAAGCATTCAAGTGGTTCTTTCAGTGTCATTTTATATATAAGTTTATGAGTATACACCTTTTGCTCTGGAGAAGGAAACGGCAACCTACTCCAGCATTCTTGCCTGGAGAATTCCGTGGACAGGGGAGCCTGGTGGGCTACGGTCCATGGGATTGCAAAGAGTTGGACATGACTGAGTACACAGCACAGCACCTTCTGCTCAACAGTAGAAAAATAAGAGTTTTCCAATTTATTTGAATGAAAATTTGAAGGAAAAGAAGGGCTTAATTAAAAAGAAGAAAAACGCAAGCTTTCCTGCTACAGTCAAATCTTAGTTTAGAAAAGATTAAAAAAAAGAGCGAAAGTCTGGAAGTGGTATTCCAGCAGAATAAAATGAGATTCGCATTTGGTAATAGCTAGATTCTAAATTCATTTAGGTGGCCTCATATTTACAGCAGAACAGCTTCATGCTTGCACAGGTGACTTGCTGAAATGGCCCAGCAGTTGCTCTCTGAGCCTTTTCCTTTGTGAGTCTTTGGAGAGCAGATATTTTTGCTCAGGCGCAGGTCTTTTCCTCTTTGCTTATCACTGTAAATTTCCCTCTCACAGATTTTGGTTGGTTGTTTTAGTTAGATCCTTTGTTGTTGTTGTTGCCTAACAATAGATGGAAACCCTCAGAATTCTGGGTAGTTTTAAATGCAGGTATCTTCAGTCTTTTCATTATGAAGATCTGTTCCATTTAAAAGACTCAGATACAATCTTTGGGAAGCATGGACCTGTTTCTAGGAAACCCCACTTTTGAACTTTCTATCTACAACCCTAAGGACCTGAGACTTTCTGTTTTTTGCAGCGTGACCCAAGAGCACACATTTCCTGAGGGGAAAATGTATCCCTTCTTGTCAGTTCCTACGACTCTTAGGAGGACTAGGTGGATGCATGCAATTTCACATCCTACTCTCAATTGTTGGAAACTAGTTTGGTGGTTCCCATGGTCTCTGGCTCTATGACTCCTCTTGATTGTTGGCAGAGTTTTTCAACCAGTTGAAAATCATTGCTTTAGTGAACCACTACTAATTATGTGAGTATGTTGCCTGTGAAGACTGATCATTGATCCAGTCAGTTACAAAAAGGAAGCTGTGATCAGTCCAAAGGGGCAGGGTCATCACTGATCACCTGGGAGCAGGGTCTCCTATGCTGCCGTATCTTTGAGGGGAGTACATGTTAAGAGCAAAATTAGCAAAATCTTGGATCATAGCTGCTGTTGCAGTGTTTATTCTGAATACCAAAAATCAAACACTATTTTAAACCATCAGTGGAAATATAGAAGTCCACATTTTAGAAACTCAGAACTGTCCAAGCACATAGAAGAGTTAGCTTGCTGAAGAGAAATAGAATGTGATTAAGTAATTTAAAGAATTTAACTTAGTATTTCAAATATTGGGTGGTTAGTTGTTTATTGTTTATAATACTGTTAAATGTACTTATGAACTTTCCAGGGCAACATATTCTGGGTTATCGTTTATGTATTCTAGTGTAGACAAGTTATATTTGCCATGGGAAACATTCTGAATGATCAAAATTGTATTTAAAGAATCACATTGAAGTTCAATTTGTAGTTCAATTTGTGTTAACTATATTAAATATCTTAGTCACTATTGTTACGTCATGTTTGCTTTTTGACAACACATTTTGAGGCCTAAGAAAGGTATTATATTGATAGTCCCTTAATTAACATTTGGTTAGAAACTGAATATTACTGAAAAGTTTTGTGTATGTGTGTGAAGGTAAGACTTCCTTTTGTGTTGTATTAACTCTTTTAAAATGTATTCAGTAAGTGAAACCAATGATTAGTGTAGCACCAACCCTTTCCTTCAAGGAAGCATTTAATTCAGTGAATAAAAAAATCGTATAATCTGTTTTGCATGGTACAATGGTTCTACTAAAATGTACTTGTGTAGTAGGTACTAGATAATTTAAAAACAAAAACTGGAAAACCACAAAAAGAAAAAAAAATCCCACAGCTTGTTATACAAAATATGCATTGCTAATAGTAGAAGCCATATATTGCCATTGTACTGTTGTAATACTTAAGATTGACTGCTCATCTGGTGCTATCTGTAAGCTGTTTGGCATTAGCGTCTGCTAGGTCCTTCTTCCTATTTCTTCTTGAATGTATAATGTGTGCCTTTTAAGTTCCTTCTGGTGTTGGATGGTAAAATCAGTGTAGTATTTTTGTATTATAATCTGCACTTTACACTTTCTTGGAAAGTAAGATTCCAGACTCTCCAGTTTAAATAGTATTTTTAAAATATTTATAATGTTTACAATAAATATTTTAAATATTTGAATTCAACATCTAAGAATAACTTTTAAATATTTTGTATGGTTTGTTAATTGATGTTTAATGTTTCTCTCTTAGTTTATTTTATATATTTTAGAATGCCTAAAAATGGGAATAGATTGTAGTTTGTCTTCTAATGTGGAGGTAAACTTTTATGAAATGAAATATGGGTGTAATTGGATTGTCTTACCAGTTGTTCCAGCATATCACCCTTTATTGTTTTAGTTACAATAATATATGAGTTAGATGTTACTCTTAGTCAACCTATTAGGCTTCTCTTCTTATTGTATTTTTTCTTTCTAAAGTGATTGATTCAGGTCATGAGAAAATTTCCAGGGCTAAATGAAAAACTATATAGAGATTTTAATAACTTGCTTTTTACATTGACTAAATATTAAAAGCATTAAAAAATTTTTTATTGAAAATCTTGAGTTATGCTGTTAGACCTTTTTACTAGATCTTTATCACTTTCCCCTGATTTTTTTCTAATTCTCTAGCTTTTGGTATGACATCTATTGCCTCAAAAAATCTCACTTTTTAAAAGCTGACAAAACTTACTGCACTATTAACAACAACTGTAGCAATGAGTGTATAATAAGATGGATGCAAGGTATTTTTTGGGGAATAATTATAAAACCATGCTTTAACAATAATTACCTAAACCAGTATTTGACAGTCTAAATCTTGAAAACAGAATTATGACAAGCCTCTGTATAAAAGTAATATGTTTAATGAAGCATTCATGATGAATGATTTAACTTGAAAATAAGATTTCATTTTTTATAAATCTTTTGTCTGAAGAGTTAGCCTATATGTGTGTATATATTTAGTTTTTCATCACAAGAAAAATAGTCTTCAATCTGCTATAATATCAGTGTCTATAATCTTCTCTACAAGCATATTGTATGTATATGCACATGTATTCCCTGGGGTAGGAAATGGCAACCCACTCCAGTATTCTTGCCTGGAGAATCCCATAGACAGAGGAGCCAGGTGGGCCACAGTCCATGGGGTCACAAAGAGTCGGGCACGACTGAGCATATACAACCAACCAACATATGTATTATTCTAATTTAACAGATGTCTTTGATATTTAGTCCCCTTTTGTCATAGCATCCTTGCTCAAATGACCTACAGTAAAAAATGAACTATTGACTAAATGTGAAAGTATGATTTTAAAGTCATTTTCTAGGCTTTATTATTTTATAAGCTTAGTTAAAAAGTAGATTAAGTGAATTAGTTTTAGTTAAGCATTAAAGTTTGAATAAAGACTTTTTCACCTATTATTTAAGATTTAATTAAGATATAATATTAAAATTTCCCACCTGGTTATCAGTTTTGTCCTGCTGCTGACTTGCATCCATCAGAAGCATTAATATTTGTTTTTGATCTTTTCTTGGCCTTGATCAAAGGAAATATTTATTTAAAGAATGCCTTGTTTATTATACCTCATTTAGGATGACTTTTATTTCTTGTGTGTTAATAAATGTATTTCTTTACTTGCTTTAAAACACTTGTATCTTTGCTCTTTTCTAACTCTGAACTTTCCTCTGTGGCTGCATCTGAGGTGCTTTTTTCAGGTATAGTTTTTTTTTCTTCCATTACTTATCCAACACTTACATTTAGTTGGTCTTTTTTCTTCAAAAAATGCTCATCTGAACAAAGTTTTATTATCATGAATTGTAAAATAGTTACTAGTCATAAAATGAATGTCTTTTATTAATACTTTTAATAAAAAGTTTTAAAAGTGTTTTTATTTTACTTTCATGCAGGTGATGAAACTTACCAGGACATTTTTCGTGATTTCTCCCAAATGGCATCCAATAATCCAGAGAAACTAAATCGTTTCCAGCAAGATTCACAGAAATTTTGAATTTTTTTTAGAATGGGGAAAATAGTAAATCTAGTGACCCCCTAATGTATATATCTGAAAACTCACATATTTTTACTGCTTTAATTCTACCTACTTATTTTAGTAGCTATTGAGCAGTTTGGAGAAAAGATACCCATTCATTGATATTTTTATAAATCAAAACATAGATCTCTTAGCAGTTGGGAGAGGAACCTACTTTAAGACTTACATTATTTTATTTTTTTTTTAAAAAGCCTGTTTAAAGGGCTGTTTTTTATAGATGAAAGTTGAATCTGGACTTAGGCCATCTCTAGGTTACAAGATGCTAAGATTTATACAGAATAATCTTTTCTTCCCAATGAATGATGGCATTGATGTTTTTCTTCTGTGCACTGTGCCCAGGATTGTTCAGTCAAGCCTGTCAGCATCAAGTGGGGAGCCTGATGTCCTGCCTGATTCCAGAATGTGTCTTTGCTTTAGCTTCCTGGATGTTGGTGGTTCAAAATAGGTTTTGCTTTTATTTTTTCTTGGTAGCTATTATATACACAATATGTAATTTAATTATTAGAACTAGAGGATACATGACCCCATTTCCTCATAAATGTAGTTTATCCCTCATGTTATTGTCCAGTACTTTAACATACATACAGTGGCTGTACAGATTGATATAACTCAGTCCTTTAGATTTATTCCATTTTAAGAAGCAAAAAAGAAACCGTTGACATTTTTTTTTTCAAATTACCAAAAGGATCTCATAGAAGTTATAGTTCTTCAATGTTGGGGTGATTTCCTAAAACCTTGACAATTTTATTGATGTAATAAAACTGTGTTTCAAAGGTTACTTGAATGTTGCAAAATTATGCTTTCATCAGATTGTAACTATCAAAGGAAAAGTTGACATAAAATAATGTAGATCATTTTTATATTTGAAATGTGCCCTTTTCAAGGTACATTTTTGCTGTTGCTCCTAGTGAAAGGAAAATCTCTCTGTAAAAGGAGAAAAAAAGACTTGTTTTTTTAGATTATACTAAAATATACAGCAATAAATTGCTTTTTAATTCTTCTAACATCTATCCTATGTACTTATCATACATGGTATACATTCTTTTAAATTATAGCATCTATGTAGACTTCCCTGGTGGCCCAGATGGTAAAGAATTCACTTGCAATGTGGGAGACCTGGGTTTGATCCCTGGGTTGGGAAGATCCCCTGGAGGAGGGCACAGTAACCCACTCCAGTGTTCTTATCTGAAGAATCCCATGGACAGAGGAGCCTGGGGGGCTGTAGGCCACAGGGCCGCGAAGAATTGGACATGAGTGAGCGACTAAGCACAGCACATGTAGCTTTAGTATTTGGTTACATGAATCACAGACCCTTGAATTCCAGAATATTATGGAATTGGACAGATATGCTATACTATGGAAATGTTAATTTTCTATGTATATGCTACAAATTTGTTTGATTCCATCTTTGACCTCTTGTCAGGAGTGTAAAATAAGTAATTTGCCTTATGGTTTATTTTTAATATTGTCATAACTAAGTTTAATTTTCTTTTTCAAGTTATATGTAAGTAGTGAGAGGTTTTTAAACTTGAGTTACCAAATAAGTAGAGAAATTATATTTCATTGGGTATATAATAAATTTTCTAACATTTTCCCACCAGTAAGTAGTTTTCTAAGTTGACTGAACATCAAATCAGAATCAAAACAGGAATTATACTGAAATAAATTCACATCACAGAAAAGGCTCTGTATTTGTTTGACCAAATTGCATGCATATAATGAACTGTCATGTATTAGATAAAGGTAAAAAATATATGTATGGATTATTTCTAAGGAAAGGCTAATTTCCAAAACCTTGTATTTTAATTGCAACAATAACAAGAATATTAAATCTTCCCTGAAATCTGAGTCAAAGACCACCCGGCTTTGCAAAAGTCTGATTTGTAGCATTTTTGTTAGTGTACTTTGAAATTAATTGTCCAGAAAGCTCAAGGAGAAGGAAATATATTGAGATAAGAAAGGAAGAAACAGAGGAAGAAAGAAAAAAGAAAGAAGAAACAAGAGCCTCACTTTTCCTTTGTAGTGCCTATTCCAGTTTTGATCCTAGGAATCCTTTTGTTCTTTATCTGAAGAAGCCTAGGTAGTTTTCATTTTGGATCCAGCCTTTGGTCTCCAGATCACCTCTGGGGTCTCTGGTTGTGAAAGCAGTTCTTAGAGACTCTTAACTTCTGTGACTTCAGTCATGAGTTGTTAATGTGGCAGTAATTAGTGTCTACTTAAATTTAATTGTTAGAGATGTATTTGAAGTACACTAAAGATGATCATGGTTCTGAATATCTTCAGAAAATCTTCAAAGAAAGTGAAAGTGAAATCTTTAACAGTGTAGGGAGTTTGTACATTGAAAAATACATTTATGTGGCTTGGTTTCTTGAATATGCCAAAACTCAATTTGGATTAAATTTGGCAGAAATGATGCAGTAGTAACAGCAAAGTTTTAAAGAAAATTAATAGTTACAAGTAGTTACAGAGTAGGTTGGCTTTTAACCAAGGTGAATTAACTATGTCAACTAATAGCTTTTCTATAGTATGTAACAAATCTGAGTTTTATTATGCTGTGACTTATTCAGTACAGTATGATCAATTACAGTGTAAACAATGTTAGTTATAATCTTGGGCTTCAAAAATCAATGTGATTGTCCTTTTTTTTCTTTCCCTAGGTGATCTGCTGGTATTTAGTTTCAGATCCCTTATTATTCCATTAATCATTATTATCTTATTAGCTTAAAAGTTTGATTTAAAATAGTCTCAAAATAAGAGTAGCAGTACTATGAGGAATTTATACAGTGCAGTTTCATGTTAGAACTAGACTAAAGGTAATTGCGTAGTTCTTTGTAATTTTTCATTGTAACACTTAACATGTTTAAGGTTTCTAAGTTTTTAAAAAATTACCTTTGGTACAATTCTTACAAATTCAGAGATTTCCAGGGATTCACTACATTACAGTGTTTGCCTAATTTATACTGGTCTTCATTGTATATTTTAATCAACTTTAGTGTTTACTTTGTAAAACATATCTATTTTATTTGAAATATTAAATGGTTCTTCATGAGTGCATTTTGACAAAACACATACTTTTCCAGTCTGGACAACTTATATTTGTGATGTGTTAAGCAGTATTTTAAAAATATAATTTTACACATGTGAAGTGTGATCACAAGAAACAATTGTATTTAAGACTAAATTTACTATCTGTTTTGAATAAGACATTCCCTTATCACTCTTATATTGTTTAATTAACTTTTCTGTTTGATAGCACTTTTGACTGTGGACATGAGCTGGAAAATGCTATATTTTTATAGAATTGTCTTTCTAAAATGATTTCAGACCTACATGATATAGTGGAAAGAGCACTGACTAGTGATTATTACTCTTTGAAGTCAGAGCACCTCACAAATAAAATGAGTTGGATGAAACAAGGTGAAACTGTAACAGCAGTCTTTCCTATACTGTTTGCACAGCTCCCCCAGTGTACCTTGCCATCAGTTTATCTTGCAGGATCCTCATGGTCGGACTTCTGAGATCACCAACATTGTCTCTTCTTTGATCATGGGCTGCTGCTCGTTTCACAGAGCTGGTCTCTGTTTTGCTGGTTGGTGACCAGCAAAACCCCTGACCAGCTGACACCAGAACCCCTGTCTGACTAGTAGTCAAGAGGCACTCATATCATGAAATGATTTGAAATCATTATAAATCAGCAGTCTAATAATGACTGCCAGCTTTCCTTTTGTTTTGGTTAAAAAAAAAAAAGACTCCAAATATTCTGGAAAACCTGGATATAAAATTACTTTGAAGAAATAGATTAAGGTTTGAAATTGTAGGGAATTTTATATTTTTGCAGTAACAAACATTGACAAAGGCAAAATGTAAAGGTTATTTTAATCCACCATATGCTTACCAATTTCTTGATTCTTCTAAACGAAGACAGCTAAAAGGGGCATGGATTCAGTTTGGCCAAATCTTGACATCTATAAATACAATGTTGTGGGCATCCTTTTCTGTTTACATAAATTTATCTACTAAAATGAGATAATGGGAAGAAAGCAAGATTTGATTAAATAAACTTTTCTCTACATTGCTCTTTTCACTATCTTATGTATTAGGTTTTCTTATTTTTCCTCAGCATACTTCCCAGCCTTTTGGATATTCATTTTAAACAGGGAAAGCTCTCTACATTATAAAGAATATTGGCACCATTTATTTTACACAAAGGCTAAAGGTTAACTTAGAAATGATGAGCTACTTTCCTGTATGTGTTTACTTGTGCTTCATGATATTTCTGGATCATTCCCGTCTAAAGACTTATTACATGTAATATTTCCTGCTACCTGTGAAAAGATAGATTTTAAAGAATGTATAACCAACAATCCATTTAGTTTTTATTAGCATGTAGAGGATTTATTTGTATCTAATTCATGAATGTAGTTTTACTATAGGATGTCACTGTAAATGGAACAAAGTATGTTATCTTTATAGTTATTCTAAGATGTACATTATGTAAGAATTGTAAATATTTACCTGATTAAATTCTTTGTACGCCAAGAAATTATGTCATATCAATAAAAATCTCACCTCTGGCATAGTTCTTTTGTGTTCAGACTTCTACTTTATTGTGAACCACAATTGCAGATATACCTGTCAACTCATGTGTTTCATATTTTCAGTTCGGTGTGTCTTTCCTACTCTGTCAGATTGGTCCAGATTGATCCTATTTGCTGATTGCTTCAACCATGAAATCCGTTTTGATTTTTTAAATATTTTCTTCTGCCTGTCACAGAGCTGTATGGCTCCCAGTTCATTAGCTAAAAGCCACAAAAGGCCTTTTTATGCTGTAGCTCTAATTTTTTTGCCATTATGATTGAGATATCTGTTGAAGTTTCTAATCTAGGCAACACATTTACACATACCCTTTTAGTAAACAAACAAAAACAAGTTTTTGCGTGAATCGAGATTGAAGGAATAGAGGCCTAAAAGAACAGACCTGGAAGTGAATTCCCTGCTTTTGCTTTTCCTTTAAAAGTTAAGTGAAAGCAGACACTAAAACTATTCTATGTAATTTACTTTATTCCACTTCACTTCATTTTCATAAATAGTTATTTGACCAGGAGAATGCAAACCGATAGTAAATGTTTTAAATGAAAACCACCTACTTTGCTTTATTACAAAACAGTGCTTTTTCATTGTAGGAAAGGTTAATGATAAGCAAAAAGAATTTGGTCCTAATTCCATCATTTGCCTGTGATGTTTAATATGGTACCTCCTAGCCACATGTGTCTACTGAAATTTAATTAAAATTTGAATTAAGTGTTAAGTTCATGTGTTGATGGAGAAGGAAATGGCAACCCACTCCAGTATTCTTGCCTGGAGAGCCCCATGGACGGAGGAGCCTGGTGGGCAACAGTCCATGGGGTTGCAGAGTCGGACACGACTGAGCAACTTCACTGCATTTCATGTGTTGAATTGCCACGTCAGAGCTGCTAGCTTTGTGTCCAGTGACTACTGTTTTGAGCAGGGCAGATTATAGAATATATTCACCCTAGGAAGTTCTGTTGGATAGTACTGAGTGTGGGGGATGCTATTACTCCCATGGTATATACCCTTCTAGACCCTTGGATGTGTGTACATACAGTGGGGTCAAACTGTTTTGTCACCTGCTGCTTTCATTTAATAAATGAGGGACAAGTTTCTTTCTTTTTTTTTTATTTTATTTTTTATTTTTTTTCATTCATTTTTATTAGTTGGAGGCTAATTACTTTACATCATTGCAGTGGTTTTTGTCATACATTGAAATGAATTAGCCATGGATTTACATGTATTCCCCATCCCGGTCCCCCCTCCCACCTCCCTCTCCACCCGATCCCTCTGGGTCTTCCCAGTGCACCAGGCCCGAGCACTTGTCTCATGCACCCAACCTGGGCTGGTGATCTGTTTCACCCTAGATAATATACATGTTTCGATGCTGTTCTCTTGAAACATCCCACCCTCGCCTTCTCCCAGAGTCAAGTCTGTTCTATACATCGGAGTCTCTTTTTCTGTTTTGCATATAGGGTTATTGTTACCATCTTTCTAAATTCCATATATATGTGTTAGTATACTGTAATGGTCTTTATCTTTCTGGCTTACTTCGCTCTGTATAATGGGCTCCAGTTTCATCCATCTCATTAGAACTGATTCAAATGAATTCTTTTTAATGGCTGAGTAATATTCCATGGTGTATATGTACCACAGCTTCCTCATCCATTCGTCTGCTGATGGGCATCTAGGTTGCTTCCATGTCCTGGCTATTATAAACAGTGCTGCGATGAACATTGGGGTGCACGTGTCTCTTTCAGATCTGGTTTCCTCGGTGTGTATGCCCAGAAGTGGGATTGCTGGGTCATAAGGCAGTTCTATTTCCAGCTTTTTAAGAAATCTCCACACTGTTTTCCATAGTGGCTGTACTAATTTGCATTCCCACCAACAATGTAAGAGGGTTCCCTTTTCTCCACACCCTCTCCAGCATTTATTGCTTGTAGACTTTTGGATAGCAGCCATCCTGACTGGTGTGTAATGGTACCTCATTGTGGTTTTGATTTGCATTTCTCTGATAATGAGTGATGTTGAGCATCTTTTCATGTGTTTGTTAGCCATCTGTATGTCTTCCTTGGAGAAATGTCTGTTCAGTTCTTTGGCCCATTTTTTGATTGGGTCATTTATTTTTCTGGAGTTGAGCTGGAGGAGTTGCTTGTATATTTTTGAGATTAATCCTTTGTCTGTTGCTTCGTTTGCTATTCTTTTCTCCCAATCTGAGGGCTGTCTTTTCACCTTGCTTATAGTTTCCTTTGTTGTGCAAAAGCTTTTAAGTTTCATTAGGGAGGGACAAGTTTCTAAGTCTTACGTAATTTGCATCACTTTTGGGAGGATTTTTAAAAGTCTTTTTATTGAAAATTTTAAACATAGAAAAGTAGAGATAATAACTTTATTAGCTATTGGTTCATGGCTTACACTGTTTTATCTACACTCGTACCCATTTTTCCTTTTCACTATTTTTTTAAGACAGGTGCCAGACATTTCAACAAATTGTTGAGTATGTGTCTCTAAATATGTATATTGCTTTTATGCAGAATCTTAAAAATGATACAAATGAACTTACAAAACAGAGCAGACTTAGAGAACTGAACTTACTTACAAAACAGAAACAGAACAAACTTTCGGTTACTAGACAGGAAGGATTGGGGAGGGGGGAATAATTGAGGAGTTTGGGGTTGACGTGTATACAACAAGGACCTACTGGCCAATACAGAGAACTCTGCTCAATATTATGAAACAATCTAAATGGGAAGAAACTTTAAAAAGGAATAGACACATGCATATGTATAATTGAGTCACTTGGCTGTGCATCTGAACCTGACACAACATTGTTAGTCACCTACACATCAATATAAAGAAGTTAAAGGGGGGAAAGGACTGTCCTTAAAAAATTATATCACCTTTCTCAAACTATGAAACTGTAGTCAATATGCAAATTCCTCAATATTTTGTGTTCTTTAAAAAAAGTTTTCAAATCAATTTATGTAAGTTCCATTCATTGCAATTGGCTAATATATCTCTTGAGTCTGTAAATCTATAGGTTCTCCCTCCATTTATCACTTTAAAAAATTTCCACTTAGTTTGCTGACTACAGCACCAACAGCATCTTTATTTTTTAAAAAATTAAAAAAAAATTATTTTTAGCTGCACTGGGTTTTCACTGATGTGTGTAGGGTTTCTGTAGTTGTGGGCGAGTGGGCTTCTCATTGTGGTGGCTTCTCTTGTTGCAGAGCCCAAGCTGTAGGCACTTGGATTCAGTAGTTGTGGCTTGTGGTCTCTAGAGTGCTGGCTCAGTAGTGGCGCACAGGCTTACCTGTCACTCAGCGAATGGGATCCTCCTGGACCAGGGATTGAAACCGTGTCCCCTGCACTGGCAGGCAGACTCTTAACCGCTGGATCACCAGAGACTTCCCAACAGCATCTTTATTTTAGTACTGATGAACATTTGATTTTAATATCTTGTCATCATAAACCTAGCTTTGCACTACCCTTGTGGCTAAATATTTGAGTATATTTTTCCTTATTCCCTTATGAAAATGATGGTTCACAATGGGTGGGTGTATTTCTGACGCTCATTCAGTGAGTCAAGCACCATCAGTTACTGGAGATATTATGGTTAAAGAAAGACACATTGCCTGCTCTCTTGAAGTCTTGCCTTCTTGTAGCAGAGAAAGATGGGACTGAGTAGTTCTTAGGTGGCCCTTATGGGATCCTTGAGGATGGTGCCTCATCTGGACACTGCAAGGGCTGGTGTTTAGAGACCACTCCTTGAGGCGGGGACCCCCCCAAGCCAAGGTCTGAAGGGCACTGCTTTTCAAACTTTGGCTTGCAGAAGAATCACCATCGAGGCCCAGGCTCTTTGAAGGTAATTGGGCCTGAGCCCTTGTGTTTTATCAAGCTCCCCAGTGCTGCTGCTGCTGCTAAGTCGCTTCAGTCGTGTTCGACTCTGTGCGACCCCAGCTAATATCAATAAAAATTTGAGAACCACTGTTCTGTGGATAGGAGAGAGAACTGAAAGTTCTCTTGATTTTAGTATTGCCAGAGTGCCCTTCAGGAAAGTTGTGGCAGTACAGACACCCTCATCTGCTGTAGAAGACTGTTTCTCTGTCAAACCTGTGACTGTGTGACCTGAGCAAGTGACCTCAGTTACGCCTCAGTTAAGAATTTGCAAAACTACTGGGTATGCAGTAAATCTCTTTTAAAGTGTTAAAGTATGTTTAAAAAAAAAAAAAGCTTCCTGGGGAGCTCTGAACTACCCAACGTTGGTGGCAGGTGGCCCCCCTGGTGGCCACATCCTTTAGGTTGCCTCTGGTCGGCCTCAGAGATGCCAGGTGAGGTGAGCAAGTGATTCATACCTCGGGTGTCAATCCTACTTCACCGAAAATGGGAAAGGAGTTGCTAGTTTAAATTCTTCAGCCCTAGATAGTCTCCAAGGTGTGAAAGGAGTCGGGGAGAGGACTTTAAAGCCTTCAAGAAATTAGGAGGGAAAAGGTATATAAATAGAGAAAATTTTTGTGCGTCCAGTTTAGTCTTTTTGCTTCCGAAGGCTTAGCTTCGGTTTCTAGCGCCTGGGGCTGTGCACTTAACGAGGGCCATTTTCCACAGGCCGTAGAGCCTGCTGACTTGCATGTCCTTACCGCCTCCTTCGAACACGCTGGAGGGACTCCCGCGGGCTCAGCGCCCAACCCCGCTATAATCCTTCTGCGCTTAGGACCCAGTGGCTGCCAGGCAGCCTGGCCCCGCCTCTCCGCGCATCAGCGCCCGCAGATTGGCAGCTCGGCTCCGCCCCCGCCATGGCTGCCGCCTGCTGCCGGGGCCGCTAACTTGCTGCCGGGGTACTGGTCTCTGCAGCAACTCCCCGGCTGACCTGTCCGCGGGCGGGTGGCGCATGGGTCTCCTCCGAGGCGGGCCCCCATGCGCTCGGGCCATGGCGCGTCTGGGCGCTGTGCGCTCCCACTACTGCGCGCTGCTGCTGGCCGCGGCGCTGGCCGTCTGTGCCTTCTACTACCTGGGCTCTGGCCGGGAGACCTTCTCCAGCGCCACCAAGAGGCTGAAGGAGGCCCGCGCCGGGGCCCCTGCTGCGCCCTCGCCGCCAGTGCTGGAGCTGGCGCGGGGATCCTTGGCGCCGGCCCCGGGCGCTAAGGCCAAGAGCTTGGAGGGCGGCGGGGCCGGGCCGGTGGACTACCACCTGCTGATGATGTTCACCAAGGCCGAACACAATGCCGCGTTGCAGGCTAAGGCCCGCGTCGCCCTCGGCTCCCTGCTGCGCCTCGCTAAGTTCGAGGCGCACGAGGTGCTTAACCTGCATTTCGTAAGCGAGGAGGCCAGCCGCGAGGTGGCCAAGGCCCTGCTGCGGGAGCTGTTGCCGCCCGCCGCCGGCTTCAAATGCAAGGTGAGCGGGACCCCAGCTAAAGGTTCCGGGTAGGTGACTCGGTCATTGTGGGATCCGGCCTGGATCCAGGGGTCAGGAGGGAGGTGTCTTAGTTGCGATGCCCACTGCCAGTGCCAGCAGAAGCCTAACGCGTACCCTCCCGAATTGTGCGTTCATAGTACGCTTCAGGTCGGGGCTGGGAGTGGGGGGGCGGTGCGGAGGGGGGCGGAGGGGGCGTGTCTCGGAGCCTCTATTAGCTGACTTCCTTGATCCGAGCTTCTCTTTAACTGCAGCCCCTTGGAGAATCGCCGCGCCCCCTCTTTCCTGGCGTGGTTGATTTCAGCAGTCAGTGCCTTTAGTCTGCCCCTCTTTTTATTCTTCTCAGTCTTTGACTTTTGAGGATGGAGCAGGTCACTTGAAGGTGCAGCGTCTACTGGACAAGGTCTTAGGCCGCTTGAGTTGTTCAAATTACAGTGATATTTCTCATAGCTGTAAGGATTTCAGTTGAAACTGGTCCAGCCCACACCCAGCCCATGTAAACCATTTCATCTCCTCAGTGTGCCTCCTTCTTCCCTTCTCTTAAGGGCCATGAACCCGTTTAGAGAAGCAGCGGGTTCCTCCCAGCAAGAAAGTGCTCCAAGAGGTAAGGATATAAGATCTGGAGATGGCAGAGCAGAGCTAGTTGTCTTGTTCCAGGCTGGACTGCCTGGCTCTGCTTGTGAGAGATTGTCAGTCAGCTCAGTCGCTCAGTCGTGTCCTACTCTTTGTGACCGCATGGACTGCAGCACATCAGGCTTCCCTGTCCATTACCAACTCCCAGAGCCTACTCAAACTCATGTCCATCTGGTTGGTGATGCCATCAAACCATCTCATCCTCTGTCATCCCCTTCTCCTCCCACCTTCAGTCTTTCCCAGCATCAGGGTCTTTTCCAATGAGTTGGTTCTTTGCATCAGGTGGCCAAAGTATTGGAGTATTTCAGCTTCAGCATCAGCCCTTCCAATGAATATTCAGGACTGATTTCCTTTAGGATTGACTGGTTGGATCTCCTTGCAGTCCACGCTTAGTGTTAATGGCCTCAGTTAAATTACATGTCTCCTTTTGACCTAATAGTTGCCCACAGGGGATCTAAGGTGTGATTTTAGGATAGAAATAGTGTGCACTAAATCACTCCAGTCATGTCCGGCTCTAAGCGACCCAATGGATTGTAGCCCACCAGGCTCCTCTGTCCAATGGAATTCCCCAGGCAAGAATACTGAAGTGGGTTGCCACGCCCTCCTCCAAGTGATCTTCCCGACCCAGGGATTGAACCCGTGTCTCATGTCTCCTGTGTTGGCAGGCGGGCTCTTAGTGGTGGTGGTGGAGTCGCTCAGTCATGTCTGACTCTTTGCGACCCCATGGACTGTAGCCCACCAGGTTCCTCCGTCCATGGGATTTTCCAGGCAAGAGTACTGGAGTGGGCTGCCATTTCAAGGATGGAGACTGGTGGTAGGGGGAGGGGCGGTAAGATTAGAATAGTCCATGTGTTTGTGCTGGGTGAGTGACTAAGGGGAGCAAGGCTGGCCTCCTGCACGGTTCAGGGGCCTGTTGTTGTTTTTGGCCGCACTGCACAGCCTGTGGGATCTGAGTTCCCCAACCTGTGTCCCTTGCAGTGGAAGTTCAGTCTTAACCACTGGACCTCCAGGGAACTCCCTTTTTTGTTGTCTACAGAATCAAGTCCTCATTTCTTGGCAGGGCTGTCTATTGTGGGGCCGGGCTCTTCAGCCAACCTCCTTGTCCTTCCCCCACTAACTGTACTGAATGTGCCTTTACACAAGCTGTACTCTGCCCAGAGTGTCCTTGCTTTCTTCCTGGGCCCTTGACCACTGTTCACATAGTGTTCACCTTCCCCCAGGAATGCCCCTAGAATTGGGGACAGTCTGTGCCCAGCCCTCCACAGCTCTCTGTTCCGGCTTTCTGCCATAGCATCCAGTCTGTGCCCTGCCCAGACCAAATGAGCCCTTCGGGAACACGCACCAGTCATAGCGAGGCACCTGGTCTGGATTCCATGGTACAGGACGCCAGGAATCCAGGTCCTGGAACTTGTGGCTGCAGGGGCCTTGGGATCCACGGTCTGAGCTGGGCTTCTTTCAGCCTGGGGCCCATCCTGATTACCCTAATTGCAGTCTCGGGAGGTAGGGCCTGGCAACCTGTTCCAGGTGTTCCTTAGGACTCCAGTGTTTGCGAAATCCTTTGCTAGATCATAGGGCCAGTCTGGATAGAGCTGGGTGACTGTGGGTAACCCTGCCTCCCTTTGCCTCTCAGGGCCTCCAGACTTGACTGGTGCTCCAGACACTACCGTGTAGACCAACATTATCATTGTTTCACTTTCTGAGTCAGAGGTCACACCCTGGGCCTCTCTGCCCCGTTACTAGGACTCTGCTGTCCAATTCTTGAGCTCCAGCCACAGTGTCTTGTCGTATATCCAACTTTTTCCAGCCTACAGGCTTCTGCGTCTTTTGTTCCACCACCAGGATACACTTCTGTGTGCATCGCTAAGTCTCGCCCATCTTCAGATACCGTCTTCTTGTTGGAGCCATCCAAGGAACGTCCATTCGAGAGGCACGTCTTCCTTATGTACCTTGCTGGTGTGGTGGACTGCATGCCTTCTCATCTCCGGTCCCTGTGCCTGGAACATAGTGGGCACTGTAAATACAGGTCTAGGGCAGGTCCAGGCTCAGGGCCGGGTTCCCTTGTTGGAGTTTGTGTTTCATGCTCCAACTCTATCCCTCTGCTGGCCCTGGTTCCGACAGCCAGAGCCATCACTCAAGGCCCGAGGCAGCTGCAGATGACCTGAAGGAATTGATACCACCCCACCAAGGCATGAGGAATGAGGGTCTGGGGACCTCCGACTTGATGGCTGTGTTTAGATAAGGGTTTATCATGTTCAGCTAAATTGCTTTTATTCCTTTTATTTTCTTGTGTGAATCTGTTTTCTGTGTGTGACCACAGTCATCTCTGCCCGGCCTTCAGGAGCCCACCGTGTATGCTTAAGTCCCCTGAATGGCTGAGCATCTGCTGTGTGTCGGACCCTAAAGTCACAACTGTAGGGAACACGGACGGGGCAGGTACAGCCCCTGACACCGGGCACCCCTGGTGCTTAGCATCACCCCATGTATAGCCTGTCCCATTGCTGAACCTGCTGGATTGGGCACGAGATAGTCCTGAAGGAGGGAGGCAGCACTGAGTTTAAACCGCAGGTGGCCAGTGACTATTTGGGTGATGTGGGTGACCCCTCTTTGCTTCTCAGGGCCTCCCAGGCCTCCTCTCAAATGAAGATTTAACCCCTACCTCCCTCGGAGAGGGGAGGGTTAAATGCCACCTCGTGTACTGCAGGCAGCCCTGTGCTGCTGTGGCCGTTGTTGTGTGTCTGCTCTCACAATACTCTTCTACTCTGCTGACTTCTGGGGACTCTTGACTTCTGCTGACTGGCGGGTCCTGCAGCCATTGCCTCCCTACTTTTTGGGGTGGCCAGCTCCCTGCAGAGGCCCAGGGGGATTTTCCCAGTGCTGTGGGGACCCCTCAGGCATACAGCACGATTGCTTCTTGTGCTGCGCTATCCCTCAGACAGTGACCACTCAGAAAGGCCATCCCTGAACCCCTTTTCTGAAGCAGCTGCCACCCTATTAGCCTTCGTTATCTTTTCCGTCACCTTGTTGGTTGCACACGCTCATTTGTTCATTCATTCAACAGATACTATTGAGCGCTTATCCTGCTGCAGGCGCTGTTCTAGGTGCTGGTGGCCAGCGGGAAGAGAACCAGGTCCCTGCCCTCGTGGAGCTTACATCCTGGGGCTGCAGGGGTGTGGAGGAGGTTGGCTCAAACAAATGAACAGAAGTCCTCACAGAATGAGTCAGATCATGATCATGCAGAGAAGAGTCAAGGCGGATAAGGACACAGGCAGTGTCCGTGTGTCGGGGTGTGGAGTTGTGGGCCGTTTTGTACAGGTGGGCAGGGAAGGCCTCACAGATACTGTTAATATCTGAGCAGGGACTGAAGGAAGCGAGAGGAAGAGCTATTTGAACATCAAGAAACAAGTTTGAGAAAGTCACTACCCTGTTTCCTAGTTTGCATTCTGCCCTTCCCTACTAGAGCATCATATCCTCAAGGGCAGGGCATCACTACCCTCTTGGTCTGCTGGAGTGGACAGCCACCCTGTAAATGCCACCCCAGCTGGCTGCCCTGCAGGGAGGGGCAGTCTCTTCAAGGCTAATCCCAGCGGAGAAGAGAACCAGACACGCCTGCCTCCGAAACTCGCCCCTCACTGCAGTTTCTCCTTCCCTAAGGGAGGTGGTAGTATGTTGGGTGGGGAAAGGAGGGCTGGGGAGCCGGCAGGAGGTGGGGCGTGCTGGTCTACTGGGGCACAGATGGCATGAAGCAATGGATGGTGTTCTCTTCCTCCATCACTGTTATATTTTTAGCACAGTTCCTGGCACATTCTAGGCTCTCAGAAATATTTTATAGTCAACTGATTGATAGCTGTATTAATTAAACCTGAGAAATCATAGAAGAGTTCTTGGTGTGCTGCCCCTGGTACATCAAACTTCAGCCATCTCAGAGCACGAGGCTGGGTTGCTCCATCTCCGGATGACAAATTAGGAACAGGAAGGAGGCCTTGTGCTTTCTACACTTAAAGGTGACCACTGGATTCCAGGAGGAGCGTGCTGAGGACTTGGGGTAACGAGACAAAAGTTAAATCTCTTTGCACACCTTTTTTGAATTTGCAGTTTCTTTTATTGCAAAAGGAAAACTGTAAGTCATTTTGAAAAGCCCCAGCTCATAGTTGAGGCTCTAAAGAAGCCTGAGGGTAAAAACCTTGATGGTGGCTTCTCAGTGAAGCTAATGACAAACAGCTGACATTGCAACGCAGATTCCCCCACCTGTCATGGCAGCAGGTACCTTGACCAGAAGAAAGCTTTCGACTAAGTTATGACCATGTGGGAAAGAAGTGATCAAGGAAGTGTATCCTGAAGTGAGATGCTCT